AGAAAGCTGAAATTAATCTTAAACCTGCTTCATGGTGCTTGTAGCCTACTAGCTAAGTTGGCCAGTTAACGTTAGCTGCTAACACTAACGTTTGCTTAGCTAACTAACGCTTGCTAGCTGCGCTAACGGTCTCAGAGTCCATGTTGGAACAACACATTACGAACTGGGTTCATCGAACAGAGCATTAAGTGTTAAATGGACAAACGTTGAAATTAAACCCGTTAACTGATGTCTGTAACCTACTAGCTGCTAACACTATGTTTGCTAAGCTAACGCTCGCTACAATAGCGTTAGCAAGCTCCATATCCAAACCCCAGGCTCGGTGGAGCTAACTAGCTAGCGTTAGCTAACAAAGGCTGAAATTACACCGGTTTGTGGACACCTAGTACCCAAATATCACATCCAAAATCACAGGCGAAGCGAGCACAGCCTCCTCCGCGGGAAAAGATTATTACAGGCCATGTCAAGGACATACAACTCGCTAACGCTAGCTAGCGGTTAGGTCTGTTCACTTCGAATATGCGTTAAATTGAGCCCCTAACAAACTTATGCTATGCTAGTCGTCCCTTAACTGTACGTTTTCATCAACGTTATATCCAACGCTGCGTTGCGTGCATTTACAACCATCTAAACAATATCTTACCGTGTACTTGTACGATGACACAGCAGCTAAACGCACTCGTTTGCAGTGACCTTCAGAAAATGGCGCCGTTACTTAGCTAGCTAGGCTAGGCTAGGTCCACAGTAACGTTAGCTAACGGTTGTGTTCGTGAGCAAACTTAGTGAGGACCTCAACATGACAGATACTCATAAGGGACACACTATATTAAAACACTGCGGTCAGCTTTAGCAAGTTTAGTGATTATCTGACTGAGTATCGTTATGTGTTCTTTGAACCTGCGTCGGTTTAACTAAACTGGCTAGCTAGCTAAGTTAGCTAAGCTAGCGGATTTTAAGCCATGCTAAGTCCTCCATTAACCTCACGTTTTTGCCAATATTTTTCTGCGTAAATGTCATGAATATGTTATATGTCCATAATGACAAACAATAGACAATATACAATCTCCTACATTGTGAATGTAAGATGACAGAGTTTTCTCAGGTCAGCCAAATATAGTGTAGGGAGAAAATGGCTGCCGTCAGCTCGGGAAAAGTTGTGCTTGCGCATGCGCAGTTTCTACCCCTTGACACAATTATTTCCAATTCGCTTTAAGCGTGTTTCATATGTTTAGTTTACTGGTTTTCAACATTGCTTATTATTATTTAGTTGAAGCAAAAACCCATTTAAATTGAGAAAAACATCATCATCATCATCATCATCGTTAACCGCTTAGTCCAGATAGGGTCGCGGTAGCAGTTGGGAGAGCAGAGAATCCCAGGTGACCCTGTCCCCCGCAACTTCCTCCAGCTCATTCCCGGGGACCCCAAGCCGCTCCCAGGCCAACTTGGAGATATAATCCCTCCAGCGGGTCCTAGGACGACCCCGGGGTCTTATTCCGGTAGGCCGTGCCTGGTACACCCCCACCGGGAGGCGTCCCGGGGGCATCCGGATCAGATGCCCGAACCACCTCAGCTGGCTCCTCTCAATGCGGAGGAGTAGCGGCTCTACTCCGAGCTCCTCCCGGATGGCCGAGCTCCTCACCCTATCAAATAGAGTGTAGCCCGCCACCCTGTGAAGAAAGCTCATTTCTGCCGCTTGTATTCGCGATCTCATTCTTTCGGTCATTACCCACAGCTCATGACCATAGGTGAGGGTCGGGATGTAGACCGATCGGTAAACAGAGAGCTTCGCCTTACGGCTCAGCTCCCTCTTCACCACTACAGTCCGGTACAGCGACCGCATTACTGCTGCCGCTTGTCCCAGCCTGCGGTCGATCTCACGATCCTTCTTCCCATCACTCGTGAACAAGACCCCGAGATACTTAAACTCCTCCACCTGGGGCAAGTCCTTTCCCCCTACCTGGAGTGGGCATACCATCCTTTTCCAGGCTAAGAGAAAAACATGCACAATTTTATTATGAAAAATTTACTAAGGGCCAAGTTAATTTTTTTCAGTGTAGGTGGATCGGGAACATTCAAACAAGAAGCTGGCGAAAAATAAGCTAAATTCAGCCTCGTAGTTTTAACATGGTATTTTTGACGTTTAGCCTACCAAAATATCCTACCAAGAGGTTTTATTTATGGGTATACCTGTAAGCTGTGTCAGAGCACTGCCACAGCTCGCCTAGGTTTCATGTAGTTAGTGACACCAAATTGATGAGCAGTGTCATTAGCTCGCATGTAGCAATATTAGTATTAAGGCTCTTTAACGACCTCGTAATTCAGAGGATCCAGTGGTATTTGGGGAAAAAACTACACAGTGCAAAACGTATAGGGTTCTTAACATTTTTATTTAACACAGGGTGCGACAGAGGCGATTTTTCGAAAACCCTATTCATTCTGGCCCTAGAGAAATGGAGCTTAGACCCGAAGTTTCCTAATATGGGCATAACGAGGACTGCAGAATGACGCACGACTACAGTGGTCTATAGATGTTCTGCCCAAACCCCCTTTGCTGTAGAAAAAAAAACATACAGGAAAGTTTTCTTATTTTTTTTAGCTAAATCAAATATCTTGATTATTATGATATAACATTTTCTTAGGACATATTCTCAGAACATTCGTCAGCTTCTTGTTTGAATTTTCCCATTCCACCTTAAAAGGTGCAACAGTATACTGCAGCGCCGTTTAAGGTGGAACGGGATAATTCGAACAAACAGCTGGCAAATAAGAAGTTGACTTCAGCTTCATGGAGAGTTGAAAGACACAATATGAGCGGATTGCTCTGTTTCTGACTGACAGCTAAGTAATATTAACTTATTTTTGTCCTTACTGTTTTGTTCCGTGCTGCACCATTTAAGGTGGAACGGGGAAACTCGAACAAGATGCTAGCGAAAAGAAGCTAAAGCGCAGTAACTTAAGCTAGGTGAACATGGTTATCACCTCAGGGTTGGTTATTGCATATTGTTTGTGGCTAATGCTAACTTTTTCCCTTTAAATGGTCAAATTCGTTAGCCAACGTTAGCTTGTGTTTTGCATGTTAATTCGCGGTTAGCACGTTAGCTCTTTAGCTGTAGCTTTAAAGGCACTTGCACATAACATGATACCATAAGTTTCATATCAAAATGCTCTGTTACCTCTGTCACTTGTTTCCAAAACTGCTTTAGCAACTTTAGCCTCTGTAAACTCTGCACGCCAATTTACGCGTGTCTCTGATGTCGCCGGAATGAAGAATTACAGGTTTCCGTTGTGATGGGTCCTTAGTGATTACCTGAGTAGCCATTGGTCAGTTTCACACAAAATGTAGATGGACACATGAACCACCAGTTAGGGTGAAACGCAGACGAAGTGTTTCTCAACCCCTCTTCATAGCCTCATAACTCCGGATGTAAGTTACGTATGATTTTGCGATAAGATGGAGTCGAAAGGGCAGCTCTACAGATTCAGACTCTACATTTCTGCATTGTATTATCACAAAGACAGAGAAACATGTATAGAAACATCGCATTTGACATGCGGGTGTGTGGACCCCAGTGGGTTAAGTATAATTTTTCAGACATTTTTGTCACCTCTGATTTAAAATAAAATGTCTGAAAAGTTATACTCTAAACCCACTTCAAAGTGCTACAAAGAATATGTCAGATTTAATCTAAATTTCAGAGGCTCCTCCTCTTTATTGAAGAATTTTGTGTCAACCATGGTTTAAAATTTGTGCAGAGAGTATTTAGAATTCTGGAAAACAAACTACTATTTGACTCAAAGCAGGCTGTCTTTTATTTATTTAACCAAAATCAAAATCAGAGTTTTCATTATAAAATGGCTTTTGACACATATTGATTATTAAGAAGAAATATTACTAATATTGTGCATGCTCTGCAGTAAATCAGTGTGGCATCATCAGGGCCACAGCTGGGCTGGGGACCAAGGTGAGTATTCAGCTGTAACTGTGTGCCATATATGAGCCAGCTCTGGGCCACAACTTTTAAATATTGTCACTTTACTGTGTGTGGGCCTGATCTGTACCACAGCCGTTAGCTTTGTACACTTTACAGTCTATCAAATCCATTAGTTCTACTCATTAACAGTGTGTGGGCCAGATCTTCATTAGTTCTTTTGTTATATGGTATATGGGCCACATCTGGGCCGAGGACCCAACCAGAAGTGGGCCAGAGCAAAAACAAGGATGTGGAACAAAGTATAGCTTGGTATAGATGTTAAAAGGAAACTCACACTAGTGCTGATGGGTTCTTTTTACAACCACTGTGAACACTACTGACTTGACAGTTTTTTCACATTTCACATCAAGTCAACCTGAATAACTTTGTCTTCTTCTTAATTTTTTTTTGTTTTCAAAATTGGCGGAATTAAATGTTAGATGCTATTTATTTTACACTGGTTAAATATGTGTATAATATTTATAATAGTACCATGAATGTACGCCCATGCCCTGCGATAGACTGGCGACGTGTCCAGGGTGTGTCCTGCCTTCCAGCTGGGATAGGCTCCAGCACCCCACCGCGACCCAGAAGGATAAGCGGTTTAGATGGTGTGTGTGTGTGTGTGTGTGTGTGTGTGTGTATATATGTATGTGTGTGTTTGTGTGTATATATATATATATATATATATATATATATATATATATATATATATATATATATATATAACGAAACTGCGATAATAACTTACAGTGCCAGAATCTCAACATCAGCCTGCCTGCCTTTGTTGCTAGGCGTTGAACATGACGTAGCAAAACGGCCACTTCCGCCTTTGACCAGGATGCGATGTGTTTGCTTTATCCACCTGCATTCATAGAAGTCCCGCCTCTCTGTGCTAGGATTGGGTAGTATGATTTCGCGTCCTGCACTCGGATTGGTAAAATGTTCATACGCAAGCGCTCCGCCAATTACTAGCCAATCCCAGCGCAGGAGGTGGGATGTGTACGAATACGGGTGTGAAATAAAACGTGGGTCGGGATGCTGCTGCTGATGAGAATATGCAAGTGAACCTCTTCAGTCGTCACTGAATCTTTTGGACCTCTCTTTTAACGCTCAAGTGTCAGATTTCAAGGCAGTAAAGACAAATAAACGACGGTACAGTGCTTTTACATGTTATCGTGTATCAGAAACTGCCCTTGAGTGGCGTTTTTTCATTACCGTTTTGGGTTTGGTCGTGTCGTTAAGCCTGTGACGGATCGCATCCAAAATCAGATTCTGACGATTGGCGAAAAAGAACAAAGCTAATGGCGAACGCGTACCGTGAATTGTGTCACTCTGGGGAAAAATAATCTAAAAACGGACTGTGGATGTTGTTAGACTGTTTTTTTCTCTGACAACTTGCTTGTGGTGCCATAACAGTTTCCTCCTCTTCTGTCTTTTGTCGTTATTCCCTCAATCTTTTGTTTACCATCTCTTCGTTTAAAGTAGCAGCTTTCATTTTTATATATATATATATATGTATATGTATATATATGTATATATATATATATGTATATGTATATATATGTATATATATATATAATTTTTTTTTTTCCTGAAATCCATGTTTGACATTATATGTTTGAAAGGATGTACCAAAACAGTCATAATTCACCTTTACATGACCATTTAATCCTGTACATATTTATATGAATCTCCTATTTTCAAGAACTATATGTAACTGGACAGTTGTTCAATGTGTTAATAGTATATTAAAATACATTTCAGAAATAACCGACCTGTGCAAATTCTGTCTTAACAGCTTAGAAGATGTCTGACAGAGGTGACCTGAAAGCTGAACTTGAGCGCAAAAAACAGCGTCTCGCCCAGATCCGAGAGGAAAAGAAAAGAAAGGAAGAGGAGAGAAAAAAGAAAGAGGTAAAAAGATTTTTTTTTTCACTAAATAAACAATCCTAGCATTTCCCAATATTTTCAGGAGCTGCCATTTTTCATGAAATGAAATAGTAATGTGTACTGTTGTGCTGTACTATGTTGACTTTGGTGACAGGCACCGAATTTTACTATGCTTTTATTTTTTTCAACCAGTCATTTTTAAGTTTTCAAGGAGTTTTTAACCAGTATTTAAGGACTACTTTAGTATTTTCATGGGCCTTAATTTCCAGAGTAGAAACCCACATATCTAAAACACGTACAATAGAAGCTAATGGACAAGTGCTTTATTACCTTTCCATTAGCACCTATTACAGGCTTGTTTTCAGTCAGCAGGTTTTCCATTCTTATACTAACAGCGTTGCTCTTTCTGTTTTTTAAAATGCCACCAGAATTTTGATTTAGGAATACCTGAATATCAATTTTGCGTGAACACAAAAACATGATGAATTTTTCCATAATGTGTGCTACAGGCCCTGAATGCTGCTGTATTTACAGTGCATGACAATAAAAAGTAGCCATCATGTTCATCAGAGCGTGCACTAAATTGTTATGAATACATTGTCCCTGAGACATGTTTTACAATAGTTTCGAGATCAGATTGTTGCCTAAAACACATTTTTTAAAAATATATTCATGGTGTATTGTTACATGCAGTGTGTTTTAAGGCAAAAAAAGCATATTATTACAAATTTACCATTGTTTCTGTCTACTACTGTCTCATTATTGACATTGCATATGAAATCTCAGAAGATACCTGTGGATTCACTGGTTATTTTGCAAAATAAATAAAATGGCTGTGTTTGCATTGCAGACATTGCAACCTCTGGTTCCTCTTACCACCTAGTTAAGATGGGAAGAATATAGAAAAAAAGGAATAAAAAAGTTCATTTGAAGTTAGATTTTGCTGTGTGCTCACATCAGGAGCATCTACTTGGCAAAAAGCTTACTGCTCACTGAAGCAGTGAGATGTGTCAAAATGATTGTGGTAATGAACTTTACTGTATTTCTTTAACTATATTGTACTAATTTATTTGTTACATACTGCTTTGTATGTCTTCTTTTTAAATTAATCATAGCAAAATTCTGAAAACTGTTGGCTGAAGTTGTTCTTAAAACGTGTTGCCCATGGAAGTTATATGTTCAGTTATATGTTCTTTCTTTTCATTGCTATATTTCTGCTCAGATTCTGCTTGTTTTTGCTATATATTCATTGCAGTCTGAGGTACAGCAAAAGACAGAGAATGCATCAGAAGACTCAGACCTGGACCGAAAGAGAAGAGAGACAGAAGCTCTCCTGCAGAGCATTGGCATCTCACCTGAACCACCTTTAGGTATTCAACTTGTCACATCTAATAGCTTCATAGTGTCACCTATATAAGAGAGAGTGCGTCTTGATAGGATTATTTGCTAGATGTACTTGCAACAAAATTGCTTAAGAAATGAAATGATAAAAGACAAAAGTTAGAAAGTTAGAAAAGTATGAGTATAGTTGAAATAATTCAATGTACATATATTTAAAGTATATGGTCTGTTTTTAGGCTGTTTTTAAATATAACTTTAAAACACAACTGTCTGAGGTTTTGCCTAGTCTTCAGGAGATTGTTAGCTCAAATTCTTTGGCTAAAAATTCAACAAAGGGCATAATTGACTTTGCGTTCTGGACGAGAAGAATTGGAATTGGCAATGACTTAATTGCGGAAATAATGGTTAAAAAAGAAAAAAGAGAAAATTGGAAGGATTTCCTCATTCTGAAGTCAGCGATTTATACCTCTAAGTGGCCAGTTGGTCAGTGGACAATGTTTTGGTCAGGTTGGGCATTTTTTGTTGCAGTAATTGTCCACAGAGCTATGAATGTGTAACCTACATGATTTTATTCTGTTCTCTTGCTCTGAGAACCTATTTCAGCAATGATTTCAGTTCCCTCCCTGTGAGCAGTCTTTTCATTTTAGAATCAGCTGTTATTTCTGATATGGGGCAGGTAGGATAACTGTCTAAAATGTCTTTATATGCTGTAGCATTAACATTAGCCTTCACTGGCACTAAGAGGCCTAGTCCATCCCTTCTCCACCAAACTTTACTGTTTCTGGTAGGGAGCATTTTCCTGGCTTCCACCAAACCCAGATTTGTCCGTCAGACTGCCAGATAGTGAAGTGCGATAGATCACTCCAGAGAATTTCCACTGCTCCAGTGGTGGCATGCTTTACACCACTCCAGCCCACACTTGGCACTGCACATAGTGTTTTTAGGCTTGTGTGCAGCTGCTCAGTCATGGAAACCCATTTCACAAAGCTCCTGATGCACAGTTACTGCTTCATGTCTAAGCTGTTGTTGCTGCTAGATGAGTTGTTCCATTTCACATTAGCACTTACAGTTGACTATGACCAGGGCAGATGTAGCAGAGCAGGAATTTCACAAACTGACTGCAAATGTGGCATCCTATGACAGTGCCACCGTTAAAGTCACAGAGCTCTTCAGTACAACCCATTATATTGCCCTTGTTTGTCTGTGGAGATTGCATGGCTATGTGCTTGATTTTATAAACCTGTTAATAATGAGTTAGGCTGAAACACCTGAACTCAGTAATAGTTTTAGCTGTATATTGTACATGTATTATATGTGTTTATGTATCCAGGACCAGGTTTGGGAACCTGTGGTGTTGCATGATAATTGCATACTTATTCAGCGTGTGCACAGTTATTGCAACAGAAACGTCCTGCTTAATAGAAAACCCAGTTCTGATTTTTAATTTCTTTTATATATTTCAATCATAATCATTAACTTTTGTCTGCTCTTGCTCTTTTGCCATGAATTCCGAATAATTTTTTGCAAGTGCATCTTAAAGTATATTAGTTTTTGGGTTTAATCTTTATATCATATGAAGTAGTGATGCCCGTGCAGTTACATATTTGTTTTTTTTGTAGTTTTTCTTTTCATATTTATTTATAGATAAAAGTTCAGATTGTTGGTTTTAATTTTTCATTACATTTTTGTCTCCATTTCTGATACAGTTTATTCTTTTTAATGTCTTATACAGTGATTTCCAAATCTCAAGTCCTGGTGAAGCACTGCAGCTGTTTTTTTCCTGCTCTAGCAAGAAACTTGATTCAGATTGTGCATAAATTTACAATTAGTTGATAAAATCAAGTGCATGCAAAACACTGGCATCCTCCAAGACTTGAATGGAAGACCTCTATGAGCTTGACACTTTAAAGTCTAGAGTTATTACTGTCGTTTGTTATACGTTCAGTTTACATTTCATACTAGTAAATGTGTAAGCTTCTGTGATTTCTCTTTTCAGTTGGGCCCTGAACTTGGTGTTGTATAAGGCCACGTTCACGTTACTAGGTTGAAGTGGCATGAATCCAGTTTTTTGCCATAATGTGACACAGATGTAATGTTTTCAGAGCTGTGTGAACACAAAAATCAGAACCACTTTCATGTGTGGTTCTAGATCACATATCCAATTCATGGTCATGCAACATGAATGAGAATGGTTAAATCGGAATTCATGTGTTGTTTTGGTATGCTTGAATTACCATCACCATGTTCACCACTTTGTGAAACTTCTGATAGTAAGCACTGCAGAAACTTTAAAGAGTGGTCTTTTTCACCATTTCCCTGAATCGTGAAAAACTGAGGCTGCTCAGAGCGAATGATTGTTGCAGTGAAGACTTGTGCTACTAGTTCATTCATATGTTGTTGCTGTTGTTGTGATTGTTATTGTTAATTCATTCATTTATATAGCTGCCTTGTCAAACACACACACCACACACAGTTTCCCAGCTCACAGCCTAGTCATCTCCACAACTCCATTATCATGGCACAAATTCCCTGGCTCACAGCCTAGTAAAACTTGCCATCACCATGTGAAATCCCTGATCTGTGGCCTAGTCAAAGACCACCATCGTTGTGCCAGGACCCTGTCCATCATAGCGTAAATTATTTCGCTTGCAGCCTAGTCAGACTCCACCATCGCCCTAGCTCACTGCCAATTAAAACTTCATTGTTGTGTGAAGTCCCTGGCCTAGTCAAACTCCGCTGTCATAGTATAAAGTCCCCGGGTCACTACCTAGTCATTCTACACTGTGTAAAGTTTCCACCTCACTGCCTAGTCAAGCTCAACTGTCACACCGGAAAGTTCTCAGCTTGTGGCCTAGTCAAATTCCATTGTCACTGGCTCACAGCATAGGCAAATCATGTGAATTACCCATTTTGCAACTTAATCTTACTCTGTTGTCATGGTGCGTAGTCCCCAGCTTGCAGCCTAGTCACACTATGCCATTACCATGCGAAGCATCCTGGCAGCAGTGCGAAGTCTCAAGCTCGCTGCCTAGTACATCTCCACTGTTGCGGCGTAAAGTCCCCAGCTTGTGACTCAGTCAGACTGCACCAGAACAGTGCAAAGTACCTGGCTTACGAACTAGCCAGACTCCGCCATCATGGTACAGAGTACCCGGCATGCAACTTAGTCAGACTCTGATACTGTGGAAAAGTGTCCCAGCTTGCAGCCTAGCCAAACTACTATCGGAGTGTAAAGTCTCTCAGCAACAATGGGAAAAAACTCAGCAGGGAAGTTCAAAACAAAAACAAATACTGTACCACAAACAATACAACATAAAGTGATATAAAGCTTTTTTTTTTTTTACTGAAGTAAAAAATTTATATTTACTATTATAAACATATTTCATGAGCAATGTGGCTGCACTTGAATTAGCCTCCAAGGTGGCAAAACCAAATGACTTACAGCAATGTGGTGATCATTGTTTGCTTATTTGCAGTGTTAATGACAAATTTGTACTTCCAAAAATCACCGTAAATGATGTTACTTGATATTTTCAGTTGTATGCAAAAGTTTGGGCACCCCAGTCAAATTACACATTTTGTTGATTTTCTAAGTAAAAAAGATAATGCAAACTCTGCATGGTACAAACCTAAATATGATATCCCTACAAGTCATATTGCAATTATTATTTATTTGCTGATTTTAACATAAACAGGACAAGAAAAATAAAACAAAAAATGTGATGTATGTAAGTTTAAGTCAGTACTTACTAAGACCTCCGTTGGCTGAAATCCCAACCTATAAAAACCTTTCTTGTAGTCAACTGAATGCAGATCATGTTTGAAATCTATCCACTAATTTTCATGATATTCATCCAGGAAGGAGCAGGAGCTGGAATGAGCCATTTCAGTCTTGGCAGGACCACCTAGAGCAGGGGCGCATAACTCGAGCCCTAGACGGTGTCCAGCTTGGTTTGGTACTTCTCTTGCTCAGAGAGCAATTAACAGATGAGTTGAATCAGCTGTGTTTGCACAGGAAAGCCATCAAACTGTGTTGGACACCAGCCCTCCTGGACCAGAGTAGTGCACCCCTGACCTAAAGTCTCCCAGATGCTCAAAATAGTGCACATTTTCTTTTCTCCAGTATGTTAATTTCAGCAAATAAATGGTAATCATGTACTAAAATTTGTTAAAATGACACGTATTCAAGTTTGTTCCATGCAGATGTTGTATTAACCATTTTTTTTTACTTTGACCAGGGTTGCCCAAGCTTTCGCATACAGCTGTATAATTGTATACATCAAATTTTCAAAAGTGTGACAGAAAACAAAAGGCAATTGCTTGACAATTTCTCCTGTTTTTTTTCCTTTTTGCTTCTTTTCTTTCCTCTTTGCTTTAACCATTTCAATCCATCATGTTAATTTTGATTTGGCTCTTTCTTCTGCCTCTGCTGGCCCCCAGTGCAGCCGCTGCAGCTTTTAACATGGGATACCTGTTATTTTCATTATTTAGTCCCAACCCCTATGTCTCCCTCTTCGCAATCAGTGAGCACACCCAGTGAGGCGGGGAGCCAGGAGTCCGTGGACGGTGGGACAGTGGCCAGGTATGGAAAAACTCAAAGTGATGTGTGCAAGTCTTTCATCAGCTTTTTTAACTGTTTGGCATCACTTATAAGCCTGGTTTACACATATTTGACACAAGGCAAGAGGGTTTTAGAACGTTTTAGTGTGGCTTTATAAGGTGCTACCACTTCATGCCACCTTATTGGCTTGAAACCTGTATGAAACTCAGTTGCACTTGAGTTACATAATGTGAAGTGTCCTGAAACTCATTTAAAACTAGTTGTACGTGTCTCAATTTTGTGGGACAGGTTTTATGGAAAAAGCCAGTCAAAACCCTGGTAAGGCATCATGTGATAATGTAAAATGGCGTAATGTTAAACAATTGATTTCACATGAAAATAAAACAAGATTGGGTTATTGAATGGTTGTAAAGGAGGTCCTTCTGACTTTAGACAAGCTTGGTAGTTTTTCATTTTGAGTTTACGACAGCAATGTGAGTTTTTTAAAGCTAATGCTTCTGTAAACCTCTGTGCTAACAAGCCAACTAACTGTAAAGGCTGTCAAAACAACTGGAGGTTTGATAGTTTATTCTTCTTCATTAATCTGCTGATATCATGCTTTATGTAGCTAGATTCCTTTTTTTCTCTCTTGATGCCCCCTAATTTTACATTAAGCTGCCAAAACCAGAACAGCAATGACAGCTGGATAAATTGTATGAAAAAAACATGCTGCCAGTATATAAATAACACCAAGTGGAAAGTGTATCACAAAGGATAAACTACTAATTTGGCTAACTAGTGTAGTAACTGACTGTGTTGGGTCCAATTTTGGTTGCTTCATGTAGCTGTCAAGTTGCACAGAAATAAGCAACTCACAATTAGTTGCATGAAAGTTTCACCATGTAAAGCCAGCCTAGGACCCCGGTTTTATAAAGTTGAATAATTTCTTTGCTTGACCAACCAATATGCATTAAGCTAGGGGTGGGCAATATATCCACAGTATTTTCTACTGTCCAAAAGTAATGATAAATCCTATTATACAGCAATTCTTCCAGTGGCACAGTCTGATTGGTCACAATCTGAGAAGCCCTCTTTTCACAATAACTATCATTTTACTGAGTATTGGTTGCTAATTAACAAAATACTTTATTCTGCAGCTAACTGTTACTTTATTTCTGCTTTACCACGGACATAAATAGAAAATGTTTTGAGATCAAATGAAACTGTTATTCTGTTGTGATTCCAGTGTGGACATTTTAGTAATAACATTCTGTCTAAAACACTATAAAGCTCTTGTTGGATGAATATTGACTAGGCCTTTTAGATTGCTTTAATCTGTTGCTTTAACCTGAAAACCTGTGACTTTTAGATTTAAAATTATGAAGGATTGGGAGCTTTCAATGTGGGGTCAGTGTATTTTAGATTTACTTTAAACCAAAATCTATAATCTACCATAATCTACTTCAATATAATCAGCCTAGTTAAGGGTGTATGGATCATACAGTATGGATGATTGATAATATGTTTTGTGTCGTTTGTATGTAGAGGAGAGTGGGGCATGATCTAACCCGTTTCATTTTTTTGCTATAATAATGAATCTAAAATGAATAGGCTCCTATGGAGCTTCTTTGCAAAAATCAATCACAGAACACAGAACAGCGTCAGATATTTTAACTCTGCAGTCATATTTCTGAGCACTTCCGAACTACAGTTTTGGGACTTTCTAACAGTGCCTCATCAACATTCATGACATCAGTGAGCCTGAACTGCCTCACTCAGCCAATGAGCTGATTAGCACACCAGCCAATCAGCACTCAGTAGCAGTAATGCCAACCAGTCAGCACTCAGCAGCAATAATGTTAGCAGCCACCTGCCCAAAAACCTTTTTACTATAGAACAGGGGTCGGCAACCGAAATATTAAGAAGAGCCATTTTGTCCTCAAATCACCTTGAAAGCCACAACATTTTATGTCCATTTTACTATCTTGGCTGTAAATATGTCTCATTATGTGCCAGTGTACTAGTATAAGCTAAAAATTTTATATAAATAAAAATGCAGACTTATTTTGCTCTGCTTTAAGCTTTAGCTCAGCACTTTTCTCGCATCTCTGGCAGGAAACTTTTGCTCAAAAGTAGAATAGTTTCTTGTAAAATGTCTTTCAACGTTCGACTTTTAACAAGGCTGAAGTCAGCTTCTCATTCACCAGTTTCTTGTTTGGATTTTCTCATTCCATCTTAGATATATGTATAAATGAAAATTAATATAACTTCTGCACCATTTAAGCTGGAACGGGAAAATTTGAACAAGAAGCTGGTGAATGAGAAGCTAACTTCAGCTTCGAGATTTGTTAATGTTTGACAGTTTCTTTTTGCAAATTAAACATCAGGAAACCAGCTGAGTCCTTATGAATGCAAATAAGTCAGTTCGTCTCCAAATCATCAATGTTTGTCTCAAATCTTTCTCTTTGCCTTTTCATAAATCACGAGCTAGGCAATACTGTTATCTGCGTTGCTTGTGGGTGTCCTCTACTGTTTTGCAGTTATGTAGGAATATAGGAAGTAGCCAGACTCCCCTTAAGCTGCCTCTAGCTGTAGTTCAGCCAGGCTAGCTCTCGCTGTGAGTTGTTTGCATGCTTTAAAATGGCGCTATATTATAGCCACCAAGTGGGTGATTAAAATAATGAGGCAGTGTGCCTTCAGGGTGAATATTGAGAAATATCCGTCCATTAGCTGTAATAAATTGCCAACCAAAAGTACCTTGAGCTTCAATCTATTTAACTACACAAAATATCCCTGGTACATTTGCCCTTGCATTCAGTTATGCCCTGCTCTCCACTATCTACATTTGGCTTTATTTGATTTTAATGTGTTTACTTTTGATGCTAAATCATTTTTGACCACTTCCTCCTAAACTAAGACTGTCTTCCGTTTTTTTTCCATCTCTTAATGGGGGAAGCAGATATAGGTAAGGAGGAACGTAGATGTTGACTTTTTGTATATATCTAGACCTGTCAAGTGATTTGTTTCCCATTACTCAGTCAGTATGTATTTATCTGTGTGACACAACAGTACAGTGTGCAGTACATGTGACTTCATCGTATGTGACAGCGTGGTACCTCATGAAATCATTAATGAAATGGGCTGCTAATGTTGCTCCGGTGGCTAATCATGCATGTTCTGTTCTCTCCTTTCCTGTTATGCTGATGTGTCCAGGACGCTGCAGTGGGACACAGACCCCTCAGCTCTTCAGCTTCTTGTGGACTCTGAGCATGGGTGAGATTTTCATTACCTGCAGATGTAGGTCACCATTGTGACAAGTTAAAGTGCACTAACCCTTTAAGCTGCAGGCTTAAAGAAACTTCCAGCATCCTTTTTCCAGGACATTATTAAAATTGAAATTGAGTGCTAATTTATCTTATCATTGTCTATGCTTGTAAATGTTCTTATTCTTTATTTCTGGTCTCAGGTGCAGAATGAGGAGACTTGGAGCATCCAAGATTGTTCAGATTGACTTCATGCCGAAAGAATTGGTCACTTACTCTAAAGAGACCCAGACTCCTATAGCCGCAAATCTGTCTGAAGGTAAAATGCCATGGCCGGTACTCGTAAGCATTTTAAAATGAAAAATCATAACTTTTCACACCTTCTGAGAGTAACAGTGTGAGCAGTTTACATTTACAATACACTTTTTATTTCAAATTCAGTTTATTTTGTATGCGTGTAAAAAGTCACACTGTTAAGATAGATCAGAACGTTATTTGTTGTGTAATCAAGATAATGTTAGCATGGTTCACTGTTGTTGCTTCCAGCTTGCTTAGTTTAGATTAGGTAAAGCCACATAGTCCAGCTCTGCAGTGTAGCATTGTATATTGCAAACTGAACATTATATAGGAACTTTAAACAAAGCACAATCAAATTATTTGTGTGATTAGAGTTAAACTTTAATTCATGCCATAAAAATCAAAATTCTGATTATCTATTATTTAGAGTAATATATTAGCACTAAGCTAATGGTGGTGCACATCAACACTTTTTGGCTGAACAGACATTTAAAGTTTGCAAAATATATTTCATGTTTCACATTTTATTTAAAGCCTGTAACAGACATTAACATATTTTACCTTATATATTGCAGTGTTACAGTGACTGAACGAGCAACGTGACTTTCAGTAAAGGCTTGGCATAGAGCTGCTGCTGTTTTCCATTTCTAACAACTGACTGATACCTGGTTAGGTTACTGCTCATGTTTGCAGGCTATAGTGTATTTAGGACTTGCACAAAGGCTAGAGTGACCCCCCCCATTCACTGTCAGTTCCTGATTATATTGGTGGTTTAGCTTTGGAAGGCCTAACCAATGGGAGAGCTTGTTTGGCTGTATCCAAGCCACAGAGAAAGAAGATCTGGTTAGACCATTTTTTTCATTGGGTATTTGAAGATTTTAGCTCCTTTATTTTCAACTAGAACTTCACAATAAAATTAGAGTATTACAGTGCTTATTGCATCTAACACATATGCAAATACCTTACCAATGATAAATATGCCTTTTATATGAATTGTGTAGGTCTGCAGAGTTTTTATTTTTAGAAAAGGGGAGGTTTACTGCCAATAGAGAACTCTGAGGGAGAATCCCTCCTCTCTCCCAAAAAAAGCACTGTAGCATCTTACAGTCATTATGCAGTCAACCCACATATATAGTATTTATTGGCCAATCAGAAGTAAGAAACATGAAAAGTGAGTCAAAGAAAAGAAAAGAGATTTGTAAACAGTAAAGTTGGTTTCACTTTTGCAAATTTGGATTTCTTCTATAGCGCTAACACTTGCAATAATAAGTTTAATATATAGAAATTATTATAATATATGTAAATATTGTTTGCAATGAAGACAGTCAGCTTTCATTTATTTTTTTCTGTTGAAATTAATGTAAAAACACATTGATTTCTGTGGTCTGTTTTAACCACAATGAGAGCTTAGAAAACAAGCAGCATTCATCAGGGTCCAATCACCATATAGAGCCAGTAGAACCCAAATGAGGCAATATTTTTCAATGGTTTATAATAGTAATGATTAACGATTTATAATAGTATTTATAATAATTTTAGATGTGGGGTCTCAAAAGACTATGTGTGCCAAATTTCGTTCACATTGACCTTTTGACTTTGGTATGGTAAGCAAAAGATTTTTAGCAAATAAGGCAAAATGCCTATAAAATCAGTATACATTTTGGACATGATAGGATTTGCATAGGACTTGAAATGAACTAAACAATTCCATACTAATTACCTCTCCCTAAAATTTTATGCTGCAGGGCTCTACTACAGGGGATTGGTTGTAACCCTTTTCACTGCGATTTCCACTGAGTTTCTCTGGTTTAAACACAACTAGCATGATGATTCTATTGAAATCATTAGGCCTTCTCTGATGGTCTAGAAGGCCCTCAGAGTTCCCTCTGACAATGGCTTATTAACTTAAATGAAATTTTGCGAATGTTCTGTAATCCTTGTCTAATATAGCAGCAGTAGCACCAAATCTTCTTTACAGCAAAGCATAGTAACAGTTTAGTGAGCAAATGTTAAAAGTCAGTATGGCTTAAATACACCGGATAATGCGCACCATTTGCCTGTAGTGGTGGAAAAAATCCTTTGTTTTTTTTTGTTTTTTTTTTTAATCAAACTGCAGCAAAATGGGTGCAAAACCAAAAATGCTGCATTTATAATTTTGTTCAGTATATACTCAAAAACTCAACTTGGCAAAAGAGCCTCTACCGGCACTTGATATTTTTAATACTAACTCATGCCTCTCTTTATTACCCCGTATCACCAGTCTTCATACAGTTCTGCCAGATAAAACTGTGCCTATTGTTGCTACCAATCTCGTCCATCTGTCTCACTCACCACAAATCACATTGCTGTTATCGTTTTCCACAGAGGAGGAAGAGGATGAAGAGCTGCCAGTGGCCAAAAGCGACCTTCAGTCTGATGAACAAGAAGAGGTAATCCCTCAGGAAATCCAGCAAGGTAAGAATGATTTCAAATTGTGACTGCCTATTTGTAAGTACTTTTTCAGTAAAGGAATATGCCAGTTTTTTTGTAGCTGCCTCATCTGTATTGAATGGCCAGTTACCATAGACAGTAAGGACTCTTTCTTTCAGATATGAAATTTGTTAGTTTAGTAGAATTTGTGGTAGTTTGCTAAATTAGATTCAGGGATAATTGACAAATCTCTGGGATGCAGTAAAACCCACTTTTAAATGATATAAATGAGAAAAGACAGAAAAAACAGAAAGTATTTTTTTTTAAATACGAACACATCAAAGAGTAAAAGCTGTCAAAACACAACATGCTAACAGGTTGAAGCTCTTAAAAACACACAGAGCCTACACATGCCTTTTTCTTAGGTAACGATTTAAATTTATTGGAATGGTTTTCATAGGCACTTTTCATAGATGCCATAGGGCATTCCCATTGGCTGCTGGAAACAAAGTGAAGTGATGATCAGTGCAGTGAAAAGCAAAATTTCATTAGCTTGTTTAAGTGCCGAACAAACTGAAAACCATCAAAATGGATGCGATTTTAATGAGCTTGTATAGCATAGACTTGCTTAGACCAGGGGTGTCCAATCTTATCCGCAACGGGCTGGTGTGGCCCACTAGTTTAAACTAGTGTGTTCCACATGTTTAATCAGTTTCTCTCAGGCTTCAAACATTTGATCATGTGATCTCCTGCTTTGTTGGAATGAAAACCTGCAGCCACAACAGCCCTTTGCGGATAAGATTGGACACCCCTGGCTTAGACCATTGTAAGTTAGCAAAAGGTTGTAGAGAAAGTGTTCAGTCTCAAGAATTTAACGCATTTTACCAAATCTCTCTAAGATAAGCAATCGACTTTTGGCAATAATTGTAATAAAATGTGTGGAAATACAGATTATGTTGATAAACAATGGAGATCTCCTATAAACTTAAACCTAAAAGAAAGAATAACTGCACTCATATTTTGTTGTAGACCATCCCAGGGAGCTGACAGAGGAGGAGAAGCAGCAGATCGTTCACTCTGAGGATTTCCTGATCTTCTTTGACCGTGGCATTCGGGTGGTGGAGCGTGCTCTAGCCGAAGACTCAGATATTTTCTTTGACTACAGCGGCCGTGACATGGAAGACAGAGAGGGGTTAGGCCATTTCTCATTAAACCTCAAACATTTCTCGATTGGATAAAAAATGTTTATTTAATTCAATTTAAATTCATCTATATGGATAAACAGGTGAAATTTCAGAAGGGAATGATCTTTATCATTTGCATTTAGATAATTTTGTTTAGTTTCAGCAGGCTAATAACAGGCTTATCTGTGATCTCATGCATTAAACTAATGTTGAGTTATCGTATTTGGTCATTAGGGACACCCAAGCTGGATTAAATATGTCTTTCAACCGACAATTCTATGATGAGCAGTGGTCAAAACACAGAGTTGTCACCTGTCTGGATTGGTCACCACAGGTAAGGGAGACTGCTTGTTAGTGCTGTTAGGTAAGAGTGACTGAAATGATTAATAAGGCTCACTTTTAAGGAATTGTCCCAGATCCACCTCAAACCGGTGTTGTCGCTGAATGCTGATTCTGTAGGATCAGGTTGAAAGATATTCTTTTTTCAAAAGAGCTCAAACAGTTTTGTATCCCAGTTGATGTTACTTTTAAATTCTCTGAATATTGTTCATACTCAAAACAGTAATGCTCATTAAAATATCTATTTCACATCCTTTAGAAGTCTGCATTTTATAATTTAACCACATGGTGGCTGCAGTTTCCTGCAGTGCCCATTGATGGTCAGACTTGTTAAGCTTAAATGTGTTTGAAATCATTTTTTCCACTTTTGAAATAATTTTTTCCTTTTAAATAAATCTTGTGGTTGCATTTGTGGATTCCTTCTGTCTCAATTATGTCTATAACTAATTATTTTCGCAAAAGCTCTAAAAGCTTTTTGTCCCATCGCATGTATCCATGCAACCTTTTCAAGCATATACTATCAAAAAGAATGTGTTTTTACTAAGAATAATAACAAACCCATCTAATTTTCACTTTCATCATAAAGTTACCGAACTGTGTCCATGCGTAATTGACTTGCAGTGTGTGTCTAAGTATTACTCTCCTTTTCTCCTGTCCCTCCTGGTCCATGCTACTCTATACCACTAGTCTACCCCATCCTACTCTGTCCTGTCTCCACTCCCACTCCATCCCTGAGTCTCATCTTCTGTCACACTCCATCCCATACCTCCTGTCCCATCCTGTCTCTCCTCCTTTTCCACTTTGTCAAACATCCTGTCCCACCTACAATCCCACTCAGTCCCTCCTTGTCCCACCTCCTATTCCACTCTGTCCCACCCTGTCCCACCTCTTGTTGCACTCGTCCCTCCCTGTCCAACGTAGTGTCTTACTTTGTCCTACCGTGTTAAATCCTGTCCCACTCCACCCCTCATTGTCCCACTTCCTGTCCTACTTCATTCCACCTGGTCTCATCTTCTGTCCTACTCCATCCCATCCTGTCATACCTCCTGTTCCACTATGTCCCACCATGTCACACTTTATCCCACTTTATTCGATTTCGTCCCACCTTCTCTCTCACTCCATCCCAACCTGCCCCATCTTCTGTTACACTCCATCCTACCCTATCCCACCCTGCCCCGTGTTCTATTTCACCTCCTGTCCCACTCAGTCCCACTCTGTATCGTTTTCTGTGCCGCTCCATTCCATCCTGTTATACCTCCTGTCTCACCCTGTCCAACCTCTTGACCCACTCTGTCCCAGTCCCACGTCCGGACCCACTCTGTCCCTCCTCTTGTCCCTCCTTGTACCACATTATGGAAATGGTTCTCACAATTAAGCTACGAAACGTTTTGGAAGTTGTCAACATCTGGTTTACCAAGAAAATGTCCTGCATGAAATGCATGAAAAAGGTTAAGTAGCAAAATTACAGATCACTAATGCCAAATGAGGTGTTATTATTGTCAAATCACCCAAGCCTACTACAGAGCCAGATTTACTTCTCTGCTCTTTAGAAGTAATTCAAACAGCACAACGCTAATAGACAGGTGTGTTCTGTAAGTCATGTTGAACTGTTTGTGTAACATATCTTAATACTTCAATACAAGTATCTAAAACTTTTTTTTTTACGTTTTTTCAGTACTCTGAGTTGCTGGTGGCTTCATACAACACTAATGAGGATGCTCCACATGAACCAGATGGAGTTGTGCTGGTCTGGAACATGAAGTTTAAGAAGACTACCCCAGAATACATATTCCACTGTCAGGTAAGAATTCCTGTTGGTTGGTCTTGAAGATCCTATAACATATTTCTTATAACCATTTCATCATATTTAGAAAAGAAACTAGTAATGGGCTCGAGTTATTGACTCTCAGTGCTCATTACTTAATGGTATTTGTAATTTGCAAATTTATTTAAAGTTGCTTTCATACCGAATAGAAAATAAAATCCTAGTGTGTATCTCATTTGTATTTCACCTTAAAGTTACAGTTGACTCTATGGCATTTCATTTGGCTACATGTTTTGTAGTCTCCCAAGCCAGACGATTGCCATAATATTTGTTTTTGCTTGACAGATGTTTTCATGATTGTCATGGTGCTATGACAAAAAAACAGGCCAGCATGAAACAAATTGTTACACGGTGGCTCAGAAGCCACTTCAAATAAAAATCTTGACGAGATAAACTTTAATATGTTTTGCAATCTAGTGAGTATATCTGTCTCAGCAAATGCAGTGAAAGTACATTAAATGACCACCCCTTTTAGAAATTTCAGGTGTCCATTGACTAGAATGAAAGACCTATCTCTAAATTGAGTTAATATTAACACACAAGGCCCATAGAGACTAACATTGTATGTGGATCAGATAACTGAGGCCCACCAAGGTCATTCTGTGTTTGTGCTTGGATTGAATGGCAGTAGTAATGAAACTAGCTTTACTGTCCACTCCCTCCACTTCCTCTCTTTGAATTACCTTCTAGCAGTACACAACTATTTAAAAGTTTGCAGTCTCTGTTTAAATAATGTAGTACTTGCAGATGAGTGTATAAAATGATTGTAATATAAAGCTGAAATTCTGTCGATTTCAAACAGTTTGCAGGAATTTGAAGAACTTAAGAAATGTTTGATGATAAACAGAGATGTACATGATTCCATAACAATTATGAAAGCTAAATAACATCTAGAATTAATTTAGAATTAAAGTAATATTTAGAATGCTTGATATTCAAAAAGCAGTCACTGAAAAAGAGCTATTCATAGAAATAACTGTATATAGATAATTAACATGGGCATAACCTTGCTTTAAAATATGCTGGGGATAGTAAGGGAAGAAAAGAAGCTGTTGGAGGGAGAGTGATGCTATGGGTTATGTTCTGCTGGGAAACTCTGAGTCTGGGCATTCATGTGGATGTAGTTTGACACATAAAATCATTTGACACCATTAAAATCATTCATGACAGTTCTTTTTTTTATGATTAACAGTTTTTATTGATTTTGATCTTAGATCAATACAAAACCACACATAATTGTATTATTGCAACAACATGATACCCTTTACCCTACTCCTTCCCACCCCAACTGTGTCGGTACTACGTTCCTGATCTGACCTAATTCAGTGCAGTACAAGGCTCTGTATCATAAAAATATATAATGTATTGTGCTGCTACAGGCAAGTTGTGCACACCCCAGATAGTAATGTGAGAATTCTGTTTGACAACCCACTCCTTTTTTGCTGGTTGCAGTCTTCAGTGTTGCATTTTTGTTTTTGTTCAAGGCAAGGAAACTTTATTTTTATAGCACCTTTCTTACACTGCAGTCATTTAAAGTGCTTCTTAAATGAGAAAATGCAAAGATAATTCAAATTTAAATGAAAAAAAGTGAATGTAGGGTCATCAAAATTAAAACCGTGATCAAAAACAATAGATAAAAAAAAAAAGGAATTAAACATAAATTAAAAGTCAAATTAAAAATTAAATTAGGATAATAAAGTTCCATTGTTTAGTATAAAAGACTTTGTTGCAACTTATTATTTACTTTTTGTCTGCCTTGTCATTATTTCTTGTTGTTCCCAAAGTACTTTAAATTGTGAATAAACCATTACAGTGTGGCTGGAACCACAGAGGCGAGTGGGCATTTGACCCACTGCTTTTCAAAGTACTGCAGGGGATGACCCGTTGTCACTACCTGATCTGGGCACCACTGTCACGCGTGTGTAATCTGTGTTGCGTTTCGTGATGCTGCCCAATCTGTACCCCATACGCCTATCTTTTTACGGTGTCGTTTTAGCAAAGTAGCTTGAGGTGTTTCATACTGAAACCACTATATAATCAGCCACATTCTCTTTCCCAGTTGTATACTACTTAATATTAAGTTCCTTTCTATGGGTTAAAACATTCAGTTTAGAGTACAGAGAGATGAGAGGGGTACAGAGAAAAACCTGCTCAAAATCACTTTGGTTTAGCATAAGAGCATGTCAGTGGCTCTATGAAATGGCTTCTTACTCCCTTCATAGTGCGTTGCATAGGTCATGAAATCATGACTTCCACACCCAAACAGTGTACTAAATGTTAGATGTTGTTCAGCTATGACTGAACATAAATGGCTTTTATTTATGCAAATCATGCACCGTGTAGAAGACATTCATACATAGAGAATAGGATGGCATTTTAGATTGAGCCTATATTTTGCCCAGCTTTGTTATTTGTTATGCTATTGTCATTGTAGCGCTTACAGGCTAAGAATGCTATCATACACAAAGCAAAACTGCTCAGATAAATATTCACACACTAACAGAGCAATCGCATCAGGGTTCGTTTTAATACAACCAAACTTGCTAAGTCTGACCTCACCCTAAATATCTGTTTGAATATTTCTTACTGCTACCTTGCTAAACTAACAGTGTGTTTAAACTTGAATGGTTTGATTCAATTAAAACAAACCCTGACATGATTGCTCTGTTAGTGCAGTTCGTTAGTGCAAGTGAGAACGCTGTCATCTGCGCCCCAAATAAGTGGGCCGATAATTTGAAGTACAACCATCGTACAGACCAAAGAAGTCTAAATGGATCAAACACAGAACCGTCATCTTCTCTCTACAGAACCTCTTTGGTATGAAGAAGACTTTTTGGTAAAAGACAAGTTTCTGATGCTGTTTTGATATGTGTATGTTTTATCGTCTCTTCATAAGCTCTGAATCATGGTTATAGAACAGATGGTTTCGGTTTTAAAATGAGGCTGAGGCATGCTTAAAGTTATTATACAATACTAGATATATACATTTGACTGCACACATACATTATATTACTAATTAAGGTGCCGAGATTTCTGCATTTTGTAAAAGCAGTAAGCCTCTTGAGGCTGTGTTACAGGGATTTCACCATGCTTTGCATCATACAAAACCACAGTAATGCAGGGAGTCTCATGGCTTATTGTTCTAGTATCACAAGACAGATAAAACAAGACATAATTAAAACCACTGAGCCCAGATACAACAGTGAACAGCACTATTCAGAAAGTTCAATGTACATTATCAATGTTATTGGTATGTCATAAAATCTACCCTGTGGCTTTCTACCTGTATGACTTTTGTTTACATCTTTTGGTTTAATATTAAATATGTCAGTATGAATGTTAAGCGAACCAGAACTAAAATGCAACAATATATGTATTTTCTGCCTGGTCTGGACCAAAGGGAGCCAAACTACCATGTATAAACTCGCCCTAAAGGTGCTGTCACACCTACATTACTTTTGGTGTGGGCCTATCAAACTTTTTTAGTTTGGTTCGTTTGACTTGTGAACTCTCCAACCGTATTGAGGTCGACTCCGCGGTTACCTTGGCAAATAGTCTTAGCTTAGCACGTACTTATAGGTTGCTCCCTACATAAAACTGTAGGTAGGATATTTTGATAGTCTAAATCACCATGTCAGAAAATGCTACCAGCATTGAAATGTATAGGTAGGATATTTTGATAGCCTAAATCACTTTATCAGAAAATATTACCAGCATTTAAAGAATAACTTGGATATTCTGATAACCTAAAGCCTTATCAGGGGGTTAATAGTAACCGACTTGAGGTAAGGTTGAATTAACATTAAAAACGTACCACCCTATAGTAATAACTTAAGCATGGTTGCTAGGACCATGCAATGTAGGACAAATTGTTAGAACACTGGCAACAATTGCAAGTTGGCAAGCATAATTTGAATATAGGTTAAATTCAAATTGGCAAACCAATCATAAAGAAGCAGATACCAAGTAAGGTTTATAATTGCTTTTATTGTGATCCACATAGGGCGGCACGGTGGCACAGTGGGTAGCGCTATCGCCTCACAGCAAGAAGGGCCTGGGTTAGATTCCTGTCTGGGTGGCCAGGGTCCTTTCTGTGAGAAGTTTGCATGTTCTCCCCGTGTCTGCGTGGGTTTCCTCTGGGTGCTCTGGTTTCCTCCCACAGTCCAAAGACATGCAATCAGGCCAATTGGACATGCTAAATAGCCCCTAGGTGTGAGTATGTTTGTAAATGTATATGTTTGTGTGTCTGCCCTGTGATGGACTGGCGATCTGTCCAGGGTGTTTCCTGCCTTCTGCCCAGTGACCACTGGGGTAGGCACCAGCTCCCCCTGCAACCCAGAAGGATAAACAGCTTGGAAAGTGTGTGTTTGTGTGTGTGTGACACACATAGATGTTAAGCATCCCTATTTTGTGAGTGTGAGAGTAAGTGAGTGCTTGTATTATTTCAAAATTTCTGACCATTACACAAACCGACACTGTGTATAATTTGATGCACCTTGGCTGTTGCCATGTGAAACCAACTGAATCAAATGTAAAGGATACAATATCACAAAAACCCAAACTCTGGTGTGGCTAGCAAAGTTTGCTTTCTGGGGCTGAAACCAGTAAAGCGCAGGGTCAAAATATGACACTGTTTATGAATAGGTTTATAGAGACATGTAGCTAGCAAGACATGAAAGTTTAAGTTAGTCAGTCAGCGGCCTACTTCCATCTTCCCACTCCACTTTTGGAGCTGTTGAGCCACTCCTGAACCATACAGTCTACACTGTATAAGCTATTATTGAGTAACGATTATTAGTATGACAAATAATTCCAAACTTTTGAACAGTGGTTTAAATATGACATTTAGTTGCTTTCCTCATCCATACTCTAAGCTGTAATGCACTGCATAATGAAACTATCCCATGTTTTTCCTCCTGCAGTCGTCTGTGATGTCAGTTGGCTTTGCACAGTTTCACCCAAACTTGGTGGTTGGAGGCACTTACTCAGGGCAGATAGTGTTGTGGGACAATCGAAGCCACAGGAGGACACCAGTACAAAGGACACCTCTGTCTGCTGCTGCTCACACTGTAAGAACATACTGCTACTCACCTGCTTTGTAACTCTATCTTGCTGGTGTACAGTTAGAGACTGTAGTTCATCTGTTGATGCACAGTTAGTGCCAGCCATCTTCTAGCACTTTATCAGTGGTCAGTTTCTGACCACAGAGCTACTTTTGGCTGCATATTTTTGGGTGGTGGACCGCTCTCAACCTAGCAGTGACACTAATGTGTCCTCATAGACACTACTCTGCCTGATGCACTCGCACCGCCACACACTACCATGTCACTACCATGTCAGTGTCCTACTAAGAATGGTCCACCACACAGGTAATATGTGGTCAACAGCAGTTCTGTGGTCAATGATGAATGAGTTAGAGGGCACCTGACAAAGTTTGCATAAAGATAGGTGGTTATAAATAAAGTAATAAAGTGGATGGTGAGTGTATCTGTAAAAAAAAAAAAATGGCCTTCTGCATTAGTTTCACAATTGCTTTGCTCTCTGCAGCACCCGGTGTACTGCGTCAATGTGGTGGGAACCCAGAATGCCAACAACCTAATCACTGTGTCCACAGATGGCAAGATGTGCTCCTGGAGTTTAGACATGCTCTCCCAGCCACAGGTAAACGACACACAGTATCTCACAAAATGTATACAAATGTTGAATATCAGTAGCTTAAATAAGTAGTAGCTCAGTATTATTCATTTGTTATTACAATCTTATATTTACACTAGATATTTTGTCCTGGTATATGTACAATCATATACCAGGACAGAATATTTAATATATATATTTAAAATATATATATTTAAAAGACATCAGGAAAGCACTTGTGTAACAATGGCTGTGGAAGCCTTAGCTTTGGTTTAAAGCAGGGGCCTCCAACTACCATTCTGCAACAATCAGCGTGCAAGACAGCTTTATACGTCCCATCTATTATTTACTATTTGTCCTTAAATTTAGCCCGTAAATCTTTTTTTCCGTTTTTCTGCAGCTAAATATTTAATTTGATGGGTAGATTAGCTTCACTCACCAGACACTGAAACTGGATACCTGACATGAGCTATATAAAATCAGCTTAGGCTGATGCTTATGGTGTTAAAAGCAAAAAGAGCATTACATGCAAGAGGAACCATTCAAACAAAAACCTGAAGCAACCATGCACGTTTAGTATGCATGTTCGCTATAACGAACTTAGCTGTAATTTTAGCTAGCTGCATCTGCCTTTGTGGATTAATGTATAAAATAGCAATAGATACTGCATGAAATGAATGGACTTATCAAACGAATTCACTGAGATCACAGGTTTATTCACACTTTGTCAACACGAGATGACATTTGCATAGCACAGTTGATAACCTCACTCCTCTGTGGATAACTTAACACCTCTGCTACAATAAGAGTCCCTTGTAATTCTACTGTAAAGTTTAATACTGTTAAATACTGTTAAGTTTACTTGATCTAAACACATGTAGCTTGTACTACTACTACTACTACAACTTCTACTACTACTACACCTACTACAACAACTACTACTACTACTAATAATAATAATAATAATAATAATAATAATAAAAGTTTTTAATATTATAGTATTACAGGAGTAATTGTGCTTTGTGGTGAGAGAAGAATTGCTAATAAATTATTAAGGCATTACCTGAGTGTCTATGTTATGTAGTTAGAACTTGTAATAAAAAAAAAAACATGGGACACTTTTTTCCCTGTATTTTTAAACAACCCCCCTTGGAGAAAAGCATCTGGGTAATGGTCCTCTGTAATGTGAGTTCGAGACCCCTGGAGTATTAGCTAAAATTTTTTTCAAATTTACACAATTGTCCCCTGTGCCCAAATGTAATCAGTCTGCAAAGTGCGTCACATAACTAAAAACAGTGATGCTGTGGTCAAAAACTGACCAATGATGAATTAGAGGGCACTTGATAAATTGTTCATTAGATTAGGAATTTCTAATAAAATGGATGTTGAGTGTATCTGGAATAAATGTTCATCTGCATTAGTTTCACAGTATATTCAATCTTTGGTCCATGTCCCATCTTATGCTGAGTACTGCACCCACTGTATTGTATAAATGTGTTGGGACATGGACCAATGATGAATTAGAGGGCACTTGACAAATTGTTCATTAGATTAGGAATTTCTAATAAAATGGATGTTGAGTGTATCTGGAATAAATGGTCATCTGCATTAGTTTCACAGTATATTCAATCTTTGGTCCATGTCCCATCTTACACTGAGTACTGCACCCACTGTATTGTATAAATGTGATGGGAACCACGCGCTGCTGGATGTTGGGTACTGAGGAAAAACAGTAGTAGTCACTTTAAAGGTTGAATTTTGTCCATACATCTGTCCATTTTTATAGATAGTAGTATGTCATACAGAACCCATATAAGCCAGTCTATGTAAGATTACAGCCCAACATTTTTGAGGCAAGTGTGTGATGAGTTAGGCATGTGGCTTGAACAGTGCTAATTAGTGGAATATAAGCTTCCATTACTTGTTAGCTAAATTACCCTCATAGCTCCAGTATGAAACAAAAGAAGCGACATCAAACATGTCTTGGCAGATCAACTACATAATGAATTAAGGGGAAAATAAAAATAAAGTACATTTGATTTCTTGCTAAACTATTCCTTTTTTGACATATGCATGCGAAAGTATGTTATAACAGTATAGTGGACATCACTTTTGTACAGGAAAGTATGGAGCTGGTCTACAACAAGTCCAAGGTCGTGGCAGTCACTGGGATGGCCTTCCCTGCTGGCGATGTAAATAACTTTGTGGTGGGCAGTGAGGAAGGGACCGTTTACACAGCCTCACGACATGGCAGGTCAGCACTTGCATGTCATATAAAATAGACACCTTATATAATGCCACTGCTCTTTCTTGACTCTTGACTTTTGTTTATAGTAAAGCTGGCATTGGTGAAATGTTTGAAGGGCACCAGGGGCCTGTGACTGGCATCAGTTGCCATAACGCAATGGGACCCATTGATTTCTCCCACCTCTTCACCACCTCATCTTTTGACTGGACGGTCAAACTGTGGTCAACTAAAGTAAGAGCTGTATTTCATCTTTCCATGCTGTCACTGTTTTTGTATGTAGAATAATCAGGATTAGTTATGGCTTCAGACAATCATATTTACAACCAGCCAGATATTTTACAACCAGATATTTACCACTTCTCTACAAAAAAAAACGGGATTAATGGTTAGATGAGTCATATTTTTCTTTCTTTCTGCTTAAAGGGCTCATATGCTACAATTTTCTTGTACTTTATTTATATAGTAAATACGATCCATTTGTAACAAATTTTAGAGTGATGTACCAAAAAGGTCATTCATTTTTGCCATCCTCTCGTTATCCTACATTACTGTGTCTTTTAGAGTGATATACGTAAATTAGCTTTGTTCTGGTTCTGATTGGCTGCCATAAATAGTGCCTCAGTCAAAAAGCAGGCTGGGCTGAAAAACTCCTTATAACTTCCGGATGAATGGGATAATCTGCTGTAGGGTGAATTCGCAGATATGTGTAAATGAAGTGTAAGTGTTGTTTTATAATATAGGTGTAAATTTTCATGAAATCACAAAATTAGTGAATTCAAAACAGGCTGGTTTTGCAGCTTAGTCTCCTTATATGGACTGAATGCACTGACGAGTGAATGATATGTTTTGAAACTTTAGCAATGTTTACATAGTACATCAAGCTATTTAAAAAATGAAACTAAAATTTGTTTTTCCTTGATATGGGCATGGCATATGGACAAGGGAGTGAATAACCTTTCAAACTTTTTCATTGTTTACATACATCAAACTAATTTAAAATGTGAGGATTCAGCTTTCCATGACATGACCTCTTTAAAAAAGTAGGGCCTAACTTCCAAGTAGAACATGTAAAACAGCATTCCAGGATAGGCTGAAATGGCAGTCCAATTAATTATAACTGATACATCCATATACAGCATTGCTTTGTATTTCCATTTCGTATGTCCTTCATGCTCCACTTGAGCATCTATAACTATATCTTTGTTAAGCTTGTTGAGATGATTTGCATCTACTGTTGTCATATTAAGTGGCCCTGTTTCTCTGTCCGCACAGCACAACAAACCACTCTACTCCTTTGAAGATAATGCTGACTATGTCTACGATGTTATGTGGTCTCCTGTCCATCCAGCTCTCTTTGCCACAGTGGATGGAATGGGTCACTTAGATCTATGGAACCTCAATAATGACACAGAGGTGAGCAGGCCTAGATCTAACCCAAACGATTTGTTTAACTCTACACACCAGAGTAAGGACTCTTTAAGGCCAGTAGCTTCAAAAACTTTCCTTAGTACTGCTTATTTAAGCATACAGTTTACGCTGTGCCACTGCTATTAGAGCTGATTTAAGGGGAGCCTGGCCATTTCCTGTTTCATTATATCAAAAACATGACTGTAAAATGCTAGAGGGCTCCCATAAGTCCTCAATGAATGGGGGTCAAAGGAGCTAAATGGCTAAAAGCAATTTCACTCATTTCCAACCGCTTGTGCAGGACCTTACTTTAATTTTGAAAAGTAGAAGAATGTATTTTGCTAAAAATTAAAGGAAACTTACCAGTATCTTTCCATTTTTCTACAGCACACAGGTTATATGTTGTAGGATGCTAGTGTTTCGGCTACTGAGTGCTAATTTGTTGGTAAGCTGGTCAGCTCATTGACTGAGAGAAGTCACTGATATTATGAATGTACGTAAGGCACTGTTGTAAAGTCCTATAACTAAATTCAGAAGCACTCAAAAAATATAACAACACTGGGGGATCCCCGACCAACCATAAGAGTAAAGGGACCCCCGCACAAGAGAGAACATTAAACACAATCTGCATCCGCCCCCTGGAAAAACTGTGTAATCTAGAGCACTGAGCTGCAACACTCCGGTTTAAAACTGGGGGCATCCCAAACTGCCGAGAAACAGAGAAGAGGTGGGCTGCTTGCTGTCTTTTATTTTTTTCATTTCAAGACCACCACACACCAACCACCAAGCAGTGTCATGTCACAGATACACTACGAAAGGCATTGAATTTGTCACAGTGAGAGCACCAATAAACGGCAAGTTCATTTTAAAACTCTTTTACTATAAATTTAATGGAATGACATTATCACATTTACTATCCTCTGAGTAAAAGTAAAAAAAAAAAGACTTGGCTGTAGTGTTGACTGAGATAACATGCCATTTGTCTGTTTATCTAAAAGACAACACTTTTTCTCTGTAAATTTCAAGACTTAGGTGATCTACTGTGGCTTTCGGTGGTCTAATGCTGGGTTAAATTTAAGGAATTAATGGCAAAATAATGTCATATGTGTTGTACTTACAAAAAGGTCACATAAATTTTACATGTGAATTAGCATATGTGGTTTTTGCTCACTTCACAGGCTAAAATGAATTATGTGTAAAAAAACATGTTCACATGTGAAAAAATGTGTGATCACGTTAAAATTTCTTTTGTGTTCTAAAGTGTAAAAGTCATTTTTACCAATACCAATGTGAAATTCAAAACTTCTGCCTGGGGCTTGCGCAGTTATAGCACATTTTATATTTTGCGTTTTATTTTTTTCCAATAGGTTAAGCTAAACAAATAGAAATTGTGGACTACAATTTGCAAAACAATGCCAGACCTTGTAGAGGATGTGTTAACATGTGATTCTTGACAGGTTTGATAGGTGGTCTCCCTCTTTTGTTGTCAGTTTGGGAAATGTAATGTTTTAAAAATGGTTGTCACTTTCCAAACTCTTAGGATATTGACCATCCTTCACCTAACTTTGTATCATGTTGTGAAGTTAAGGATCAATTTAGAAATTTTAAATACAAAATCATCGGTGCCTTTTATCGTCTTCACCAGGTTCCCTCTGCAAGCGTGACAGTTGAGGGGTCATGCGCCCTGAACCGGGTCAGGTGGGCATCTGGAGGCCGGGAGGTAGCAGCAGGAGATTCAGAGGGACGAGTGTGGATCTATGATGTTGGAGAGGTAATACACTGGAAATGTATGAGTCTGTCAGTGTCTTTATTTTAGTTATAATTCAGCAATAACACACATCTGGTAGACAGTGCTATGCCGAGGGTGAATGTGTTTGTGTTTATGTATTTTAGCAGCTGGCCGTGCCCCATTCAGACGACTGGAACCGACTGGCACGTGTTCTAGTGGAAATCCGAGCAAATGCAGATGGAGAAGAGGATGGTGCTGTAGAAATGACTGGCTGAAGGCAATACACCTTTGTATAAATTTACATTCAGTACAATAAAGCTACCAGAGCAGATGATATATATCAGGATTGGGGTCCACTCTGAATCGCATTGCAAAATAATAATGCAAGGCTTTACATCACTGTCTTTTTGTTTACATGTTGGAAAAATTAGATATGAAGAGGAACTCAAAATAAATTGGTTGTCATTAATAGTGTAAACAAAATACATGATAAACAAATGTGGCTTTAAAATGCTGTCCAAAAAGCAGTGCTATGAAGTCATTTAGTAATTGCTAGAATACTTAAATAACTCTCATTTAGTTAAATCTGAGCAAATCTGATTTCATTCACTTGTACTGATGTGAAGTTCCAGGTATAACTTGTGAAGATGCACTGATACATACATCTATATTGGTATTAATTAATAGTTTAATACCCATTATAGTCAGTTAATCCTTAAAGATTTTGTTTAGGGGTTGTTTCTTCAGTAGGATAGCATTCCACAGCTTGAGTGTAGTTGTTTAGATGAATAACGTTAATACCGAAATAGGTGCTGGAGGTAAAAGGAATACTTCAGGGTTTTTCAGCCTAAATTTTTTGTGTGTGTCCTCCCATCATGTGATGGACTGACAACCTGTCCAGGGGTTTTTCATCCCCTTCCGCCCAATGAGTGCTGGGATTGGCTCCAGCGCCTCCCGCGACCCAGGAGGATAAGCGGCTTAGATGATGAGTTAGTAAGTGAGTGAGTGTCCTGCCATCAGTTACCACAGACAGTACATGACTGTCCACAAGTAAGAGATCAGCCTTCGTTTATTTCATTTCCAGGTAAAACAGCCATTAAGTACACATTATGAGATATTCCTAAGGACATTTGATATAAAATAATGCAATAATGCATACTTAATAAATAGAAAAAACAGGAGTTTCCCAAACTGGAGTTCAAAAAATCATTAAAAGATATAGCGAAAAAAATGGGACTCCTAACAAGCGTGCAAGACCTGGTAGACCACCAAAACTGCCCTGATCAGATAAACAGCACTTAAAGCTTTCATCTATGAGAAAGAGAAGAAAATCAAGCTCCACTCTTGCTTCAGATCTGGAAAAATCCACAGGTGGTTCTGTCCATCCTTTCACTGTGAGAAGACAACTCAACACTATGAGTCTGAAAGCATGTGTACTGAGAAAAAGAAGAACAAAAGAAGCTGCTGCTGTTCTGAGAGCAATGGACTGACCACCCCTGAGTCCAGACCTCAACATCACTGAATGCGTTTGGGATTACTTGTATCGAGAGAAGCAGAAAATGCAACCAACTTCTAAGACTGAATTTTGGAGGTCTGGAAAAATATCCCTACAGATTTAATTGAAAAACTGGAAGCATGAGTCCCAGAAAGTATGGAAGCTGTAATAGAGGTAAAAAAGGGGACACATTAAATACTGAAAAATGAATATTTAGATGGTGCGATCTTCTGTTAAATATGTTTTTCCTGCTTATGTTCTTGAACATCTTAATGACCTTAATTGGCCATCTTGCCTGTAAATTATATAAATGAAGGGTGATCTCTGACTTTTGCACAGTATTGTAATTTTGATGCCTGGGAAAGAACGGAAAACCTGTTGACTTGGAACTCACTTGTAGGAGAAGCAAGTGGGCAGTTGCTAAATTCTGTTAATAAATGTTTGAAATATGCGACTATATGAAGTGAATTTGAAACTATAAAGCCATTACACTTGAGCAGTAAAGGTCTTAGAATGAGACAGACATGGAATGTCTTATCAGAGCTGTTCTTGTGATGTTTTATCCAACTGGTAGCATTCATGAGCTGACCCCACCCCTGCCAAATATAGCAGGATCACATAACCATCCTTTGCTGTGATCACACTTCATTGTGCTTCTGCCTCAACCGGCCTATTTATAACACGAGTGTTGATTAGCAGGGACTGTGAGATTTAAGTCTAGAACACATGCACATGAGAAGTGATAAACGGGCTTTGGGGGATGTTCGTAAGTATCAAAGTAAGGCAGCGACTTTAATGGGCATAGTGCTTTTAATTTTGTAGGCTGCTGCTGTGTTTTTTTTTGTTTGTTTTTAGGTTTTAATTCATACTGATTGAAAGTGCATGGATAGTATAAATTAATACAAACTTTTTTTTCTCCCTTCCTTAATGTTCGTAAGAAAAAAATGTTTTTTTCTATATAGGCGTATTTTCAAACTAAAATTTAGCATAATGGTTTAGCAATTAGCATACTGAATAAACACGCTGTGAGACACATTGTGGTGTTTTTGCCTAATTCCTGTGTTTGTGATTATTCATATAAAGGTTTTAAGTTATAAAGTGTATACATAAATGTAATGTGTTTCTAGTGAACATTTGCAGTTATACAGCACATAAGTAGAGTTATACATATACAGTGGATATACACCGTTTAAAGATTTGATATCTATTGTCATATTAATATTTTTTGAAATTTTTATTCAGTAATAGTTTACTTAGTATAGATTTACAGGGGAATTCCAGCCTACAACTAGAGTTTAATGTTATTTGTCATTTTATGCAGTATTCTGTAGTGCAGCATTGTATCCCTCAATCTCATCAGTTTGGAAGAATTCATGATTGATTTTATATGATTTTCATTTTCTATTCATCATTGTTCTCCCACTACGGTACTTAGCATGCATTACGCATATATATCATACAACCATTGGAAATCCCTGTGGTGTCAATTACTATAGATGGGCCATGAGTTACCATATTGAGCCCACGAGTCAAGTTTCTCATAACTAGTGGCCTCGATATAGTAATTTGTGGCTTCAGTATAGTTATTTTTGGGCTCAATATAGTAACTCGTGGCCTTAATGTAGTAACATTTGGCCTCGATATATCAATTTGTGACCTCTTTATGGTACTTTGTGGCCTCAATATATTAATTTGTGGTCTCAATATAGTAACTATTGGGCTAAACATAGTAACTTGTGGCCTCAAATAGTGATTTTTGGCCTTAAAATAATAACATGTGGCCTCATTATATAACTTTGCACCACAGTATAATAACTTGTGGCCTCAATATATTAATTTGTGGCCTCATTATAGTAATTTGTGGATTCAGTATAGTTCTTTGTGGCCTCAATGTAGTTATTTGTGGCCCCAAAAAAGAATTTTTTGGCCTCAATATAGTAATATGTGGCATTAATGTAGTAACACGTGGCCTTGATATATCAATTTCTGGCCTCTTTATGATAATTTGTGATCTCAATATAGGAGCTCATGACATCAACATAGTAAATTGTGACCTCAGTATATTAATTTATGGCCTTAAAATAGTAACTCGTGGCCTAAATATATTAATTTGTGGCCTCATTATAGCTATTTGTGGCCATAAAATATTAACTTGTGGCCATGCCATATTTAAAAAAAAATCACAAGGACACTTTAAGGGCTCCGTAGATTCCTAAACTTTTGAAGGTGTCTAGATGGCACTTTCGCCACCAGACCCTTTTCTCGTGAACGCGCACGAGGCGGGATTGCGTTGCCATGACGATTACGTCAGCGTTGGCGTCGAGTGCGGGCGGGTAACTAAAGGTCAAACTAAAAGACGGAGAGAGACGGAAGGAGGCGGCGCTCGGAATGGCGGAGAGCTCGGCGGTGTTTGGCAGCGAGAGCCGGAGGAGATGACAGCGGTAAAACTGCGGCGTGACTGCCTCGCCGTGAACTGCTTTCGGCAGAAGTGAACGGGGACGCTCACATACGCCGAGGTACCGGTGGCTGGAAGGACACAGTACCGCGTCGGTTCGGTCAGCAGGAGCGTAGCTACCGTTAGCCGTAGCCACACAGCGGGCTATCATCTGTTTGGGTCACCAGCAGGACGACTTTGACCCCTCAGCTAGTCCCCAGACTCTCACCAACACTTAAGCTGTTTTCGTTTCAAGCCAAAAAATTAACTCAAAATGCACATTTTCGAGGAGCGAAGCGGTCGAACGGTTTAAACGAGTCCGCTTTCCTCTTCGACCAACTTTGTAAGTGGTACAGAACAGTCGCTCTTCTCTCTCGCTTGGCTAACGGCAGCGAAAAGCGAAAACCAACAAAGTTGGTCTCCGTTTCGTGTCTTTTTTCGACCATTTCAGACACGCCGCTGTTTATAACCTGCTCTCGTTGCGTATGTGTTGTTTAAAAGTGCTTTTCATACTTCTGGGCAGATGCAGTAGCTCACACCAACTCCCCTATTTCAGTCTTTTGCCAGCGTTTGGCTTTTAACACGGTGATCTTGACTTGACATGCAGTCGAGGCCGCTCTCTTAGGCAAGAAGAGAATTTTGCAAGTGTTCAGTTTCAACAGCGGTGATTTTAAAAGAGTCGACGAGCGCAAAACAAGTCATTTTCTAAGCCTAACGTTGAAAACAAAGCTGTAGTTCGAGGGTTAATTAGGAAAAAAGACTAACTTCCGCAGAGTGGCCTCTGTAACTAATGTCAAATAACGGTTAAGTTTGCAGAGGCGACATTAGCATCGTGTCCCTCGCGTCAGTGACCTTAAGAGAAGAAGGCGTTTAACTTTGAGCTCGCTTTGCTGTGTTTTGGTTGTGTAATATGAACTGTAGAGGGCAGCCAACACACCATAATGTCATTTTTTTTTCTTCCCGCTCAGCTAATGCTTCTTCTTTTTGCTGGCCTGTGTGAACTGATTTGGTTGTTTGTGACTGTAAACATCCCCGACTGGAAGCTGTGTGAGAACTGGCGAGCTTTCAGTTGGATGTTTGCTGCTGCTGACCACTTCTGGCTTCTTGATCTGGGATCAAAAGCATTGACATGCTACCTCGTGTACTTTAGGGGGGCGCAGTTTGCCCAAATGATATCTTTACTGGAATTGTGGCACAGATCAGGCCTATAGAGAGTCTGTAAACAACAACCAATGTATAGTAACTGCATAGTAAGTAATTAGGTGATTGAACATTAGCTGATTATATAATTATTTTAGAGAGCTTGACCAATATGAAAACATTATTGCTGATACTGATTTCAGAGAACTAAAAATTCCAATACCAGTAATTTGTAATATGTAATATTTATATTTTAGATTTTTATTCTGTTCTCCAATAGACGTGGGTAGTATGGCGAAATGTCATCACAGTACTTCGAGTTTTTTTTTAAATACACAATATGTCACTGTTTATTTTTTCTGACATCTGATAAGTTAGAACAAAGTAAGTCAGCTTTTTAAATTACTATCAAAAACTATGAATTCAGTTATTTGTAATTAATATTTTACACACTGCTGCACTAAATCCAATTGAACAGGACGAATCATGCTCTCTTTGTAATGAGCTATGAAGTTGGTAGGTGGTTTTTAAGTACTGACTATGTCCATGATATGCTCAGACAAGGATATTGTGACATTGTGATTTAATTTATTGCAAAAATGATAAATATTGTCATATTGCTGAGCTCTGTGCTCCAATATAGTTAAACAGTGCTTTAATGACAGATATTATTTCAGTTTTTAAACAGCAGAAACACAATAATTTTTATATGTTTTAATAATTACCTGTTATTTTAGTTGTCATTAGTTCTATTTCACAAAAGTTTTTGTTATTATTATTATTGTTATTATATGTTATTCTTTGCTAAGTTGAAAATATCGGTGGTGCCACAACCAAAAAATTAAAATGCTGGTTATCAGCATGTTATTTGTAGTTTTTTCCACCGATACTAATAAAATTGCAGGTCACCAATACTGCAGGATATTATTATTATTATTTTATGTTTGCTGGTGGTGGTGGTTGTTGTTGACGGCGACGACGACTTCTTCTTCTTTCTTTTACAGCTTTAATTTTTCAAAAATCTTTGTACTCAGAAATCATTCTACTATTTCTACTTTTTTGTAGCTTTTTTGATACAGCTGTTTTGCTGGTGCATTTGATCCACTCCAACTTCTTTGCAGACCTCAGAAAAACCACATATCATGATGCATATTGATGTTACGTTATTCATGGCTTGAAAATAGTAATGGAGACGGTGGACGGTCACGCCAAGCAGCCTGCACTTAGTTACACTTTCAACTGCAAGTTGCACATTTGGACCTATTCCAGTTGCAGTCGCTGTAAACATCCTACACTCAGCTTTAGTCGGTCAGAAAGGCTGAGAGGAGGGTGTTTGCTTTGACTGGCTGGAGAACCACAGAGACGCTGGACACAAATGTATAGAATGTTAGAATGCGTTCAAGCTGAGAACCTTTGCGTTTTTTATGATTCATGTTTTTATGACCACTCCTGTAAGTCCTGTGCGGTAAAAGATTTTAATAAAGCACTGCACAGTATTAAAACCCACTCAAATAGTGACAGCTTGATTTAATAAATTCTGATTGTGCTTCTAGTAAGAACATTGTGATGGTCCTTAATAAATGAAAGAAGGGTGTTTAACCATGTTTGATGCAGTTTTGTTTTTTTTTAATAAAAATGTGGCTTGTACAAAAGTTATAGCACATTTTATAATTTTTTTTTCATCCAATATGTTAAACTCAAATAAATACAAATTCTGTACTAGCACAATTGCAGAAAAGTCATGTTAAAGATTCCCTATAGATGATGTGCTAACTTATTTTCAAGAAACATCCTCAAGAAAAAAGTAATGGTGTTAATGTCACTTCAAAGAAATAATGACTCTGGTAGAAAAGTAGATACCAAAAACCACTCTGGCTGAGCTGAGTAAAACCAGCCAGGAAAACTTCACGGCTTGAAACTGGGAGATGAACAAGTCTTGAGTTACTGACTGAACACAACTTTTATATCACTTTTATATCAGTTTCTTGAGTAGGACTGTACACTATCAGATCAAAACCTCCACAACTACAGAGAACCCTGTAGAACTGCAGTGGAACTTCTTTGTACAATTAGTACCAGAATTTAAGTTTGTTTTAAGTCTTAAGTCTTCTCTTTTTGAATGAAAAGTAAATGCTGAAACCAGAAAGGTGCAGTTATGAAAAATCTGGTGTAAATAAAAGTATTATGTTAAAGTACTCAGAAAAGTGCAAAATTCTTCAAAAGTGTGCTGAAAGAACATAGTCATTTAATGTTATTTGTCATGTAATATTCTGGGGTGCAGCTCACTATAGTAACCCAGCATTCACTTTGCTAATTTGTTATACAACCATTCAGAATCCCTCCTAACTTTGATAATCATTAAAAAAAAAAATCAGACACTGAACACAATAATTTGTATTCAGTATTTTTCATGCTGTGCTGCACTAATTCCAGTTAAAAGGGACTAATTTTGCTCTCTTATTATGAAGCATGCAGTTGGTCTGTGTTCTAAAAGTCCTGATGATATTCATATGTTCAGAAAAGCATATTGTATTGTGACATAATGTATCATGATAACAATATATCTTGTCGTATTGCCCAGCCATAAAAAAATCCCACCCTCATGTATCCATCTCAAAGCAGTTCCTCCAAACTTCAAGGTACATCATGAGAAGGGGGCTTTCCTGGCCTTTAAATAGGTAAATCTCACCCTTAAGACAATTGTGGTGTGGCTGTAGCAGGCAAGCAGGCATGCTTACAAGAGATAGCAATGGTTATTGTTTTTATTTTGGACAGAGTTTCTGGGAATGCCACTTATTTCAAAAATTTCTGCTTACTTAAATCATTACAACTTTCAGAATGCCCAGTCCTAGAGAAGCTTTCTGAGTCAGAATTATTTACAGTGGTGGTGATAGGAACCAGACATCTGATGGGTTTAATGCCTCAAAAGCTATCTTACAGAAAGTTAAATGTTTATAAATATGGTGACATGCAGGATACAATGTTTTATGGTAGTTTTGAGATGAAGCTGTGGCTTATTTTATATTTATTTTTTTGTTAATGTATTTGTGGTGGAGAGATACATGCTGAGTGTTGTAAGGTTAAACAGTCTCCAAAGAAAAGTTTTGTTTTTTTTTTTACATTTATCACTACTGTACCATTTGAAACTGAATCATGCTTAAATTTTTACAAATTGGTGGAAATCCCCTTTAAAGGGGAACTCCACTTATTTTTCAAAAATTCTGCATAGTTAAATGGTTAAGATGTAAACAGAGTCATTCAGAGTCGTTTGGTATGAAATGCTGTGTTCAAGTGAAATTTACAGACAGAATTGTTCACAGTAGTGGTGATAGGAACCAGACGTCCACCTCTAAAAGCTCCCTCACAGAATGTAATTACATGAAATGCTTATGAATAAAATGCCTTATGTTTTAAAACATTGATTTACAGTAGTTTTGTGGTAAAGTTATGGTCTAAAACGTATTTTAATCAGTTAATTTGAATCTATCCATGGTGGAGGGATACATGAAGGGTGTTCTAAGGCAAAATAGTCCCTGAACGTAATTTTTTTCCCCAGATTGACCATTATTTTACCATCATCAGGGTTACCGAAAAGGTTCAGAAGACATGTGTAAGTAATAAAATGGCTTTATTTATATTGTAGACATTTGTACTCCTGGTTCCTATCACCACCACTCTAAAGAAATCTGAGTCTGTAACTTTCCCTGAAAATGATCCATTTCAAATAAAACCACTCTGAATGACTTTGTTTTTATCTCAACCACTGAATTATAGAGGAAATTTTGAGAAATCAGTGGAATTCCCCTTTAAATGCAGGCATTTGTATAGTCTACTGTAATCATAACCCTGAACTAAAGCCTCCGAGCCGCAGGCGGCGCACTTACACGCGGAGAGCTCTTCCTGCCTGAGCAGCTCCAAGAAGGAGATTCAACCCGCCATATGTGATGTCGCAGATTCGCCAGAAACGTCCGTTAAAGTAATTTTAATATAATAAAATTTCCTCAAAATGATCTTTGGAACCAAAAATAAACATTAGGAACATTTGGCGAGGCCTTTGGACCACGGATTTATTTGAGAACGATGGACCCTACGCGAGCAGGTAGGCAACAGAAAAAAACAACATCCCGTTTGCAGGAACGCAAAGAAACAGCCAATTCCGATGATTTGATGAGCGGCGAACGGGCTGCGCTGAGTAGAAGGAGCCAGCGAAACTTCACTGCTCCGAACTGCGAGACGGCGAGGCTTCAGTTACTGACTGCACGCAGTTTTCTCACTTTTCTGTAACAGTTTCTACTTTGTGCGGATTCTAGTTTAAATGCGTTCTTCGCTCTGCTTTACGGACGAAATGCTTTAATTATCTAGTCCTCAGCACAAAATGTTCGTCTCGAAAGCGGTCTTGAGTGTCCAGACCAGCCAACTTAAAGGGGAATTCCACCGATTTTTTAAAATGTATGAATAATTCAGTCTTTGAGATGTAAACAAAAAATGCTGAGAGGTTCGACGTGAAGTGGTTCAGTGTAGAGAAACTTACAGACTCAGATTTCATTACAGTGGTAGTGATAGGAACCAGGGGTAGCCCTGTCTACAACACAAATACAACCATTTTATTCATTTTATTTATTTTATTTACTTTCCAAAACCACTAATGAACCTACACGTGTCTTCTGAGTGTTTATATGTAATGTTGAGAGCTGGTAAAATAGTAAATCTTAAAAAAAAAGTTTTTATGGGGGGACTTCTTTGCCTTATAACACCCTACATGTATCTCGCCACCATTAATAGATTTTAAAAAGTACATTGTAGCCCAAAGGTTTATCTCAGAACTGTCCTCGGACAATGCTATGGACAAACTGCTGCATATTCATAACCATTTCATGCAATAACTTTTTTGTGATGTAGCCTTAAGATACATTAAACTCTCCAGACATCTGGTTCCTATCATCACTTCTAACAATTTTGAATAAGTTTCTCTAGAACTGAACATTTTGTATTAAACCACTCTCTTATTCATCTCTTAACAACTTATTAATGCTGAAAATTTAAATTATAAATTCTCCTTTAAACAAGGGCAATGTGTTCTGCAAAGAAGTAGTTAGCTGTTATAGTATGTGAAACGTTGCATTAAAGAAGGAGTCCTCCCACAAACCAAAATGTAATATACAAATTTGTACCAAGAACTAAGGGAAAATGACTGGTTGTATACATTTTATAAAATATGGTTATATACATTTATAAAATATGCAAGGGGTTTCTATTGGGAATATTGCAGTGGTTGTGCCAAACAGCTTGCTTAGTGGTGAAGTGGCAAATACAACCTGCCATATTGCTACACTTGTACCAGCACATGACCCGCTATATAGGTGTCATTACTGCACTGAGAATGGTCAAATAATATCTGGTCAGTGGTGGTCCTAAGGTGGTCACCAAGAGCATTCCAGAAATTTCAGTCCACTTGTGCAAATGCAGTCTCCATAGGTCACTTACCCAAATTTCTAATTGTAGACCAAAGCAAAGGTTTTAGTCCAGGCCCTTCGGTGTCCTCCACCAAAGGGCCATGGCTAGTCAGTTCCATTATTCCTAACTGTTTGGAAACCTCTGCTTTGACCGCAAGAGTTCCAAAAGAAGAGGAGTAGATACAAAAGAACTGACAACTCGTTATGTGCTAAAAGCCTGTCTTCCAGCAGGCTTTAAATAAGAATAATTCTCCTGAGAAGCCAGTCTGTCATGGAAAAAAGATACTTGTTGATAAATCATAAATTATTACTGGTAAATGTGTTTTCCAAAACCTACAGTGTCAAACACTGCAATAAAATGCACCGTTTGGACTGTAATGTTTTGTCAGTATCAGAAAAAGTGGATAACATAAGCAATTTATGTTCAGCGCATGGTAGATGAGGTGAAGGACCTCCACACAGGGGTCCATTTGAAGCTTTGTGTAGAGAAGGTTCTTCTCCAAGCATTAGGACTGCAACTAAAATTACTTCTATAATCAGATATACTGTCCACTAGTGTTGTAGACTATTCTCAAACTAAATAAAACAACTCTTTCACAACATGTTTATATAAATCTGTTCACTTCCAGTTAAGGCATCTAATTGATCATTTCCATGATGGCTTAACTGGGTATTATTTGTTGATATTCTTGGTTCCAAAATTCAAACATCCCTGGAGGGCAGATCAGAATGTTCTTATTTATTTAAAAAATGCATGAATGTCGTTTGGTTTATGTGCAGTTAACTTTAGGTGGTGATTCTGAATAGGTTTTAAAGGCGGAGGGCCAGTTTCCAAAAGTTACAATGCAAAGTTAAGCTTGGACTATAATACAATAGTAATTTATAATATTTTTAGGCTATTTGTTCTGTAATGTTATATTTTTTTAAAAAACATAAAATGCAATAAATGATAATGAATATGCAGTGAACTTCAAACAAATGTCATTTTTCCCCTTGTTTTCATTTTTATATTTTGAAAAAATCTTTATATAGTATTACAACGGTCTTGACGAAAACTCGACTCTTACAAAGTCTTGGTCTTGAGTTTTCAATATCAGTTTTAACAAGCCCTTTGGGGGAATCCCCAGCATTTCTTCCTTTATTTTACTAGCTGAAGAGCCCTTGGAGGGGCAAGAGATTGAGCAAACACCATTGTCGACTTTTGCAGTACAACTTGCCCAGAAATGATTGGGACCTGACGCATTTTCCTTTGCAAAGCAGAGAATAATGGCAGACAAAGCGGTTTATAAGCTATAGCAATAAACTACTTTAAAAGGCTTGACATTTAAAAACCATAACGTGATTTGCTGGACAAACTGCTCCATTTGTTATACATGACTGCTGATACTTCTTCACTTTCCTCTGCTGGCTTGTTAGCATGCTAAAGGCTACACGGCTGACAAGAACAAAAAGAAAGATGTTGCACCACAGTTCTACTACAAGTTTATAGCCAGACAAATCAATTACTCACACACCTTATATAAATTATGCTTATACGTCTTAACGTCTTAAAAACGTTTTGCGTTGCAAAGTTTGCATAGTTAGCTAATTAGCTCACTGAGGCTAACCTGCCAAGGACTATCCATTTGAATAATCTGCTCCTCAGTGTCCCCTCCTCCTCTTCTGCTGTCAGTGACCACCTGTGTAACATAGGTGGGACTCTCACATGAGTAGTGAGTCAAAGTGGGTGAGGAAAACTTAAAAAAGAATTGAAACAGGGCTTCTGTCTTGACTCGGACTTGACTACTACAAACTCTTGGTCTTGACTCAGCCTCGACTACCACAAAGTCTTAGTCTTGACACAGCCTTGACTAGTACAAAGTTTCGGCCTTGATTCTTACTTGATGTCTCCAGGTCTCGATTGTGACTTAGATACACCTTGGGTAGTCTTGAGTACAACACTGTCCACTACTTTTACAGTTTCTTCAGTTCCTTGTCCATTTGGACGTGTCTCCAGTGGTCTTGACTACAAAACTACTGTCCACTATTTTAGCAAGGATCTTCTTCAGTTCCCTGTCCTTTCTATCTGTGATTCCTTCTTTTATGATACAGCAAAACAATAGAAGCCTTATTGCCCTAACACTTTCTGTAGTGTATTACAATTTGTCAGAAAGACGACGTGCATCATATAAAAATCATTGCACTTGCACAAAAAAGTAGATGTGAGCGATGCATCAATATTTTTTTTATAATCAACGTTGTCAACTTTGTCAAATGATCATTGCGGTTGTACCTTGCACTTGGTGTAGCGTGGTGGGTAATGCTGCAGCTGAGGGGGATTTTAGCTAGACATTCATTCTTAGTCAATCCTAAAACTGAAACATATTTAAACCAGGTTCTTATACTAAAAATGTTAACTCTGCTGTTGTTGTTTGTGTTTACAGAGGGTTCTCCAGTCTTCATGTGCAAAATATGCAACCTGTTCTCTCCCAATAAGTCACTGCTCCTGTCTCATGTCCTTGAGACACATACCAAGGAGGGGAGTGATGCTGATGACGTCATTATCCCACTCAAGCCTTTACAGTCACCGCAAGCACCACCTGCAGGTAGTCCATGAATGTCCTACATTAGAGTACTATCAATGCATTTGCACAATTTTATTTCAACCAAAATTTAATCTTGTTCCATTAATACAAAAGCCTTAAATGCATTTTTGTTCGTGTAGATGGTGTCGTCAAAAGAAAACGTGGCAGACCGAAGGGTTCCACTAAGAAGGTCCAGGCAGACAAATTGAGGTTGAGCAAAGCATCCAATCAGCCAAAGAAAGAGACGTGCAGCCCGAACATGCAGCCAGAATCTGTGGCTGAACAACAAAGTGAAGATGACACAGGTTTGGAGTGCAGAAAATGCCAGCGCAAGTTCAGCAACAAGCGGCAAATTTCCAAACACATCTGTTTCGCAGGACTCAAAGAAGTCACTGATGAGGATGAGAACCATGGTAAGCGTTTTTAATGCTTATATAATTGGAACGTTGGAGAAAAATTAACAACTATGTAGCGCACACATTGGCAAAAACACAGTTCTGTTTCTCTAATAAATGCGGTGTACAGCAGATATGATGATAATACGTTGCTGAGAGTGGGCTTTACATGTACAACGAGGGGAAACAAGTACTAGGACACTTATGCTTTTTAATTAATATACTTCTGGTGCATATACAGACATGATGTCTTTTGAGTTATAAATACGAACCAAACAGTTTGTATTTATGAGCGTTACCAAAACGTTTTATATGAAAAATATGAAAAGGAAAAAGTACTCAGACACACTGTATTAAAATATTCAGATATGTGAAGAATAAAAATAAAAGTAAATCAATTTCTGTGTATTAATGCTGCAAACATTCAAATAAAAATAAAAATGTTCTCATGCAAACCGCATCATTATAAAAGATGTCATTTGTGGGGAAGATATCACACAAGTGGCAATCGGAAAGTGAAGGAGCTTCCTAATCTTCTCAGGGGCAACTTTATTAACCAATGCTTAAAAAAGCTACAGAGCCAGAGCAAAGACCTTAAACATGCCAAACAGTACAACTGGTTTGATTGATAATATGCACATATAAGCGGAAGGTTCATGGAACCACAATTAATCGTCCTCTGACAAGTGTGCCATGCAAGATTTCTCTCAGAATAATGATAAAGAATGCAAGAAAGAAGCCAGCTGTCACTCCAAAAGAGTTGCAGGACGACCTGATAGGAGCAGGAACAACAATTGCGTAGAGAACAATAATCAGTGAACTGCACTGCAGTCATCTCTGTTTCTACATCCCACACAGAACATCTCTGCTAAAAAGGGAGGTCAGAGATGCATGTCTAAACTTTGCACACAAGCATTTAGACAAATTAGAACTCTTCACTCTGGAACAATATACTCTAGTCACATGAAACAAAAATAGAACTCTTTGGCAATAATTGACCTCGTCGTATTTAGAGAAAGATGGGCTGGGCTTATGATCCCAAGAACACCATACCCACAGTGAAGTACGAAGGTGGTGGCATCATGAAATAGGGCTGCTTTTCTGCAAACGGTACTGGGGTGTGCCATCCAATTAAAACATGAATGGAGTGATGTACCGGGAGATGTTAGAGGAGAATTTAGTCTCATCAGCCAAAAAAGGGAGAGAAGGACGTTTCAACAAGACAACAACTACTAACATACAGCCAAAATAACTCGAGTGGTAACTAAAAAATGTGAAGGGCCTTGGATGGCCTGACCAATATCCTGACTGGAATCCCATTAACAAACTTTGGGGGATGTTGAAATTGTAAAGCCATCACAGTGACCCTCGTAAAACTTGGGGAATTGAAGATGGTTTGCAAAGAGGAATAAACCACAGCTGAACCATAAAATTGAACCAAAGTAGCTGCAAAAAAAATTACTTCTTACTGCAGACCTCTCAAAGCTGGAATTGTCGGCAAAGTACTAATGTTATTAATTCATGGTGTCTGCATAATTTTTTAAACTATTACTTTCATTTTTAAGCATATCTTTGTTTATGCTTAATAATACATACATACATTTGAAGCACTTATATGCACTAGAAGTATATTAAATAACAAAAACAAAAGTGTCTGAATACTTGTTTCCCTTCACTATAGCAATTCTATATTATTCTATATTATTTGACATGTCAGCTGTCGTTATTTGGAAAATTCTTCCTGTTACGAATGGATATACTGCACTTTCAAATGAAACTATTCGGATACTGGATTTTTTTAAATATCTGGTTTTCACCAGGAGAACTTTTAGACTCTCATAATGGTCAGCGCTTTGCTTTTCAGGGAACAATCCAGACACTGTTAAGACAGTAGATGGAGAAGAAAGTATTGAATGCACACCAAAGAAGGCACGAACAGTAAGGACAAATAAGGCCTCTAGTGTAAAGGACCCAGAGTCAACAAGTTGCACCAAAAACCCCATCGTCAGTGTGGTCCTTGCAGCTCATGAAGCCATCCCTGGTGAGATATCAGTGCAACACTGCCTTAATAAATGAGAGTTCATGTATATTGATTTAATTGAAGATGCTGCTTTGCTGCAGGTGCCACCAAAATAGTTCCAATTGAAGCTGCCCCAGCTGAGGAGGTTATCCCACCAGAAGCTACCGCAGAATCCCAAGAGCCAGCGCTAAAGAAAGGTTATCAAGAATATGCCATACAGCAAGCTGCTTACGAGGTGCCTCTCAAATCTAACAGGTGCAGATTCTAAGTTGCTGCAAGATTCAGATGACTCGTCACAACTACTTGAGTGGCATGTACCCGAACCCTCAATTGCATGCTTTATGAGAGCAAATAAACCTGATTATTAAAATCAAAAAACATTCTGAGGCAACATTGTGTGACAACGGAAATAAATTATATGAAAAACAGGATTTTTTTTTATCTAAATATTTTGAGCAAAACTGATTAAGTAAACAGTTTATTGATACAAAAAAAAGAGCAATTCTATTTCATGTTACTTGCAATGAAACCATGTTACCATTGTGAAGTACTGTTTTGATTTCTTGCATACCAAAGAATCAATTAAAAAACACAAATAACTGCTAAAATATAAAAGAATGAAGTCATTTTCAAGTAGTCAGCATTGGTGTTCAGTTTTCTAAACAAAACTGAGAAACTAAAACTGGTCAAACAGACTGTATGCTGATGGCTACATGACAGAAATCTACATTACAGAATTTCATATGTAAATAAATAAAAACAAAAAACCCTACTAAACAATAAGTACAGTGCTCTTGCAAGTAGCTTTGTAAGTGACATTTGCTATTAGCTATATCCATTTCATTGTAACACAATGTTGCTTCTAGGCAACAAACATGTTTAATCAATTTCACATGACATAAAAATCACTGATTTGAAATTTAAGGTTGCAAAAACGAACTTCACACTCCAACAGATGTGAATCTTATTTTTGGATAGATGAAAACTGGAGAAAAATAGCTTTTCTGAGGGAAATTGTCAGCTGCAGTAACACCTCATCCACAACAAAAATAAGGAAAAGGGTTTGTTATCCTTAGGCAACATCATGCAACAGAGGGTTGATGACAATACTTTAGGTGTAAATTACTAGAGAACCAGTTCTTCTTTACCACCATGTTATACAAATATTTCTCCTTATTAATTATACATTTATATGAGTTTTTGGCAGTAATTAATGATATCTTTTCTCACAGGTTAGGGCAGACACAGTTGAAAATTTTCACTTGTGAGTACTGCAACAAAGTCTTCAAGTTCAAGCACTCTCTTCAAGCCCATTTACGAATTCACACCAATGAGAAGCCATTCAAGTGCACCCAGTGTGACTACGCCAGCGCCATCAAGGCTAATCTCAGTGTTCACATGCGGAAGCACACTGGAGAGAAATTCAGCTGTGAGCACTGCTCGTTCAGCTGCCTGAGCAAGGGCCACCTCAAGGTGCACGTGGAGAGGGTGCACAAGAAGATCAAACAGCATTGCCGTTTCTGCAAGAAGAAGTATTCCGACGTTAAGAACTTGCTCAAGCACATCCGGGAGAGTCATGACCTGGAAGACAATAAAGTCAAAGAGTCCTACGATGAGTACAGACTCCAAACCAGAGAGGGCAAGAGACAGCTTCTATATGACTGTCAGATATGTGACCGCAAATTTAAGAACGAACTGGACCGCGACCGTCATCTGATGGTACACGGCAGCAAGAGGCCCTTTGGCTGCGAGCTGTGTGATCATGGTTCGACCAAGTTTCAGGCACTCCAGGCTCATATCAGGAAGCATCCCTTCATGTATGTGTGCGCCATTTGCCTGGAGAAGTTTGTCAGTTCGGTGCGCCTCAAGTCTCACTTCCAACACACTCACCCTGAGGTGGACAAATCCACGGCTTTCTCGGATTCTATCCAGAGGAGCTTCTGCCTGCTGAAACCTGGAGATGATATTCAGCATGACCTATTGAAACAAGAGGAGCTGGAGATTACGAGGGAGTTGTCTCTCCTCAATTCGGAAGAAGTGCTTGTTGCAGAAGCAGGCACAATAGAAGAACATGAGGATCAAGCTCAGTGTCTTGCAGGTTTAGCTACAGAGACAGACCCACTGGAGCAGGACTCCCAAGAGGGTTTACCTCCAACACATAGCATCAACAACTGCCCTGTCATTGAGACTGGGACAACTGTGGAAACTCGGACACATGGGACAGTTTGTGAGGCCACACTGGACAAAGTTCAACCCCAGGGCAGTTTGCCGAGCGTGGACAGCAATGTAACACAGTTTGAGAATGCTGACAAAGAAAATATAAACTTGCCTTCACATAGTTCTTCAACTGAAATAGCTGATATGTCATCAAACCAGCAGATACTGTCTGGAGATGCAAGCGACATGCCAGTAGCTCAAAGTGAATCTGCTTCTCAAAGTAATCTTGCCCCTAGTGGTGAAGAGGCTTTGGCCAACACAGACCAAGAGGAAAAATCTGCTTTCTTGCAGATTTTAGATCAAATGCAAAAAAGGCAACTAAACATGGAAATTTTTGAGAGGATACGTAAAGTTTATGGAGACCTGGAGTGTGAATACTGTGGTAATTTGAATATACAAGGCTGTTTTCATTATTCTTTACAAGGGCTGGGATCACGTTTTTCACAATTATTGAGAAAGACCATAAAATCAATTTTAGTAGAATTTATTGTGTCTTCTTTACATTTTGCAAGCATAGTGCTCTTCTGAGTGTCTCTTCGCTGTGAGAAACTCAGAAATCGTATTTTTCATGTTAAATGCTTACAGGTGCATTTTTAACAAACTAAAACTTTCGCCTCAATGCACACTTTTTATTTTTTATAACACCTGCATGAAGAAAACAATGTATACAAAAAAAATGTATCCATCGAATAGTAACACCATCAAACTTAACATTTTTCTTTTAGCCAGCGCTCAAAGACCCAGACACAGAGTAATAGCCCATTCTGCTAATCCGTTTCACACCATCTCAACCAGGAGGTAGATACTCTTCAAAGCAGGTGCTCTGAGCATTAAAAGAGTGAACTATGGGTGATTTTAGTATGTATAGAATAATCCAATTAGAAACAGTTTATCAAAACTTAAAACTGTGATGCTGATGCCCCTCAGTCCCTTCTGAGGGCCTCTCATTTATCATCGTTCGTGGAAATCACTGTCATTGGATGTCATCTAGGTGTATCCTATAAGAGGGAAGTAGGTGGGCAGGAGGCGGGACTAAAATTATGCTGTTTTTATAAAGCAATTAAAATTGTACAGTTTTGTGATTTTTGGGGTTAAATTTGTTAGAGGGTGGCGTGGCACATGATAAAAAAATGTTTTGTTTAAGAACTTTTATCTGAGTCAAGCCAGTCTGTTTAGTCCTTTCAAGTATTGGTACCCCTCACAAAACAGGGCAAAAACAATCATTTAAAATAAACAACACATATGATGATCTAAAATAAAACCAGAGAATTTTTGTTATTTATACTTTGGAGGAATTGTTGTTTTAATTGCTCTTAATGTCATGGACCTTATTGTTGTCTGCAACCACTTCCTGATTCCATGGGGTATAAATATGGGGTTACACACATGTATGAAAAACAGAAGATTGTGGACCTGCATAGAAATTAGGAAAATGTTACAAAAAAGTAATAGTCAGCTGAAATTGGCATTAAGCGCAATCAGGGTGATAATAAAGTTGTAAAACATTGTGTGGTGTGGTCACAGCAAGACAATGATCCCAAACACACATCAGAAACCACACAAAATCAGAGTTTTGGCCCTCTCAGTTTCCAGATTTGAACACATTTGAAAAAACCTCTTGTGTTAATTGAAGAGGGCGGTCCATTAGCGAAGACCCAAAAATATCAAGGAACTGGAAATGTTCTGCATAGAGAATTGGTCCAAGATCCCTTAACAAGTGTTCTACAGTGTTGTTAAGCATTACAGGAAGCAGCTTTTATTCCCTCCAGGCGCAGCTTCAACAAAATCAATAATGGGGGTGCCAATCTTTCTGAAACCTATGTTAAAAAAATATACTAAAGAAATCTTTTTTAATATTCCAAAATATATGCAGCTTACCAGTTTGTTTAAGCCTGAAATTTCACCTATTGCATGTGTGGTTTGTGTAATATATTGATTTTAGATCATTTTCGTGAAAAGTGCCGATAGTTCTGGAGTTGACTGTATATGATTCTGTTCTATAATTGTTTTATAATTCTGCAGAATAGAGACACTTAGAACACAGTATATCATAAGCATCCCGTGAGCATGCATGTAAGCTGGGCAAATGGTGCACACATGAAAATTTCAACCTTAACATGGGAAAACTAGGTATATTTAGACTCATATGTATTAATGCTTATCAGTTTTTGTCCTGATTTTTTTATCAGTTTTTTCCTAAATAGCCTGTTTTCCCAGCCCTACTCTTTATCATCTTATATTTTCCAATCCGTACACTTCATTCTTCTCTGCTCTGAATGCCTTTGTGTTTGTGATTTTCTTGTGACAGGTAAGCTTTTCTGGTACCAGGTGCACTACAACATGCACGTGCGAACACATACACGTGAGCACCTTCATTACTGTTCCCAGTGCAGCTACTCTTCCATCACCAAAAACTGCCTGAAGCGGCACGTCATCCAGAAACACAGCAACATTCTCCTCAAGTGTCCTTCGGAAGGGTGCCAGTACTGCACGCCGGATAAGTACAAGCTACAAGCGCATCTTAAAACACATTCAGAAATTGTGAGTACCTAAGCTTTTTGTCTTTGGAGAAAAAATAGCAAATATGTTGTCTTTTGCCAAATTTTGCACTTTTGCAATGTTTTTTTTTTTCTAGGTTAAAAAGCAATTTGTCTGTCCTCTCTGTGTGGAGTCATTTCCAGAAGACAAACTCAGATATCATGTCAAAACTAGTCATCCAGGTAAAAGAAATTTACATGTCTAGTACAATTGTACCCACACACTATGACCAAAACTATGCGGACACGCCTCATAATTATTACCATTACCATTGCTAACAAGTAAAACAATTTCTGAGTTGCTAGATCTGCTCAGGTCAACTGTAAGTGCTGTTATGTGAAATGGAAGCGTCTTGGAGCAACAACAGCTCTGCCACAAAGCGGGAGACCATGTAAACTCACAGAGCAGGGCTGACTCGCATAGTGCATAAAATTGCCTGTCCTCATTTAATCACCGTAGAATTCCATAATACCTCTGGAAGCAACATCAGCACAAGAACTGTGTGTCAGGAGCTTCATGAAATGGGCTTCCATGACCGAACAGCTGCACACAAGCCTAAGATTACTATGTGTAATGCCAGGCGTCAGCTGGAGTGGTGTAAAGCACACCTCCACTAGATTTGGCAGTGCAAACGTGTGCTCTGGAGCGATGAATCATGCTTCACTATCCGGCAGTCTGATGGACCACTTTGGGTGTGGTAGATGCCAGGATAATGCCACCTACTTGGAAGAGTGATAATGATTTGGGGCTGTTTTTCAGTATTTTGGCTAGGCCTCTAAGTTCCAGTGCATACAAAGACATTTTAGACAATGTATTGCTTACAACTTTGTGGAGGCAGTTTGGGGAAGGGCCTTTCCTGTTCCAGCATGACTGTACCCCAGTCCACAAGTCCATAAATATGTTATTTGATGAGGTTTTTGTGGAGGAACTCCAGTGCGCTGCACAGAGCCCTGACCTCAACCCCATTAAACATGAATGGGATAAACTCGAATGTCGTTTGCAAGCCAGGCCTTCTCGTCCAACATCAGTATGTGACCTCGCAAATGCTCTTTTGACTGAATCTGGTGTATCTTGTGGAAACTTTTCCCTGAGGAGTGGAGGCTGTTTCAGCTGCAAAGTGGAAGGGGCTGGGATAACTCCATATTAATTCCCATGGTTTTGAAATGGGATGTCCAAGAAGCCAATGTAGATGTGATGGTCAGGTGTTGACATACTTTTGGCAATAGTGTGTGTGTATAGATATATACAGTTTTTCCCCATTTTTTTAAAATATAAAACAGTAATGTATGTGTTCCTTTACTGTTTAGATGCATCATGGAGTACCATCTCAGAAGCACTAGGAATACGTGTACATGTAAAAGGAGTGATAGGGAAACGAGCCTCCAAATGCCCATACTGCGACTACTTCTTCACAAGGAATGGAGCTGACATGCAACAGCACATATGGGCTCATGAAGGTGAGCCAGAAGTCTCTTTTTTAAACGTTCCACAACAAGCACATCTAAACTCCAGAAAACCTTGGTTCTGTCCTAGCTTTACAGGAATAATAATAATAATAATAATAATAATAATAATACATTACACATAGTAAACCAATAAATGCAAACTGAAGATGGTTAAGGGAAAAAAAGCTAATTATCTCTCTTCATTTAAGCTTTTAATCATCTTTCCTGCTTGTTATTTACTACATGCTAACTGTCCCATTGTCCATCTTTTTCCATTAATATGATCATCGATAGGTTTGAAAGTGTTGCTCCCTTCAAACAAGTACTTTCATTTGAAATTAATGTGGGTCGCACTGACAAGGATTAAGCTTGAACCTGGACTAAATCAGGATTTATCTGTAAATCCAGTTGCACCAAATTTTGAGCCTAGCTTTAAAGTAATCTTACCTTACCTTAAAACCATCATCTTGGTCTTTGATTTCCATTAAGATTAAATGTAATCCTGTTGCTCCATTGCTTCAACCTTTATTGAGGCATTCCATTTAAAAGTGGAAAATTAAAAAACCCACATTATATCATCCTAATTACTCTTAATGAGTGGAATGTGTGTGCTTCTTAATGCGGTTGAGTCAACTGTGTCTGATCACTGTTGCTGCCACTGTTTGGAAAAACAGTGTTGGTTTAAAAAGCACAGCTTGCTAAAAGGCCAATATCTCTAGTAATACAACAATTGTGTCAGAATTTGGAAGTCTTCACTATAAAAATAAAATAAATTCCTTGATTACTATCCCTAAATCATTCCCTGCCAACTCACCTAGGGCATGTCCAGCCATGTAATGTAATTTCCATTAAAAACTTTGAGGACAAACTTTTAGTTTAACACATGCAGACCGTGCAAATTTGTGCTTGTAATAGTTTTAAATTATGATTTTTTAAAGTTTTATCTTAATAGTGTGTTTATTTGCTAACAGAATGACTGACCTGAGTTGAAATATTATTGGACATAAACACTTAGAGTAACATTTCACCCTAAATAGATAATAAATTCCCACAACAGGGTAATTAATTGGACGATGTACTTTTTATGTCGAGCTGTGCAATAATTTTTCTTTGAAATGTAATATTTCTATAAAATCTTTAGATTATTAAATTCTGCAGCACCATGAATTCAAAATTGCTGAAAGTCTGTTGTAAAGGCCTTTTGGCCCTATATGTTCTCAAAAGGAACTTCCGATTTCCTTCAAACTTTTTACTGAATAAGAACAGTGATGTCTAATTACCACATCATAACATATACATGGCACACTTGACGAAGAAGAAAATCGAATTGTAAAACAAACATTGGATTTCCAAAATAACCTTTGTAGTGCTCCTTCAGGTCTATATAAGACATGTACTCTTACATGAGTTATGATTTATTAATACATGTATGTTTCTCGTGCTAATACACGCATACAGGAGTGAAGCCCTTCAAGTGTTCGCTCTGTGACTACGCCTCTCGCAGTAAGAGCAACCTGAAGGCTCACCTGAACAGGCACAACACGGAGAAGACCCACCTCTGTGATTTGTGTGGGAAGAAGTTCAAGTCTAAGTGTACTCTGAAGAGCCATAAGCTTATGCACTCAGCAGATGGTGAGCACTTTTAGCCTCATTGAAGTCACATTTACATGTTATCTTCTTTAGTTTTGCACTAGCTACGAGGCTAATGTAGTTATCAAGCAAGCACGTGCAAAGATAGACCCCAGGGGGGGCTTGAGCCCCTGCCCTTTTGCCCTCAGACTGTCCAAGTGCCTCCTGGTCGCTGTGGATTAGGCTTTGAAGTCAGAGAATGTGTGATGAGGGAAACTGCCACCAATAATGTTTTCTGGGTTTGTCAGACACTAGAGGGCTGAATGAAAATGAATGGATTCCTATGGAGCTTTGGTTTGGTAATGCTTAGTCGTTTTCTTATATAGAATAATTCAGTAAATTTTTGAATTCAGAACAGAATAAAAGATTTCAACACTCCAGTTATAGGACTTTCTAATCGTGCCTCATGTACATTGACATCAGTGAGCATGAACACTTCACTGATCAGCTCACCAACCAATCAGCAATTAGTAGCAGTAATGCTAACCAATCAGTGCTCAGTAGCAGTAATGTAAACCAGTCAGCACTCAGTAGCAGTAATGCAAACCAGTCAGCACTTAGTAGCAGTAATGCTAACCAATCAGCGCTCAGTAGCAGTAATGCTAACGTCCTATGGCCCAAAATCTGTTTTCTGTAGCAAACGGAAACAGGGGTGTTATTTGTTTTTTTTGTTGTTGTTGTTTTTTAATTAATTTATTTATTTTTTGCAATACATCCTTCAAGTTTTTGTTTTTAACTGTTTAGCTCCATCCATCCCCATTTATTGGGGACTTGCTCACTGGCACCATAAGACCAGCAGTCATAAAATGGAACACATGGCTCTGGTATTATCGCAATGCGAGCGTTTTTGGGTCGTTTTTACATTCTTGTGTGGATATAGAGATTTTCAGGAATGCTGGTAATGTGGACAAAGTTTTTTTTTTTGTGGTGAGAAAAACTTTTTTAAAAATTGCAGACACGACAAGGCCTCAGTGTGTATGGCTCCTTTTTTCTATACACTCTGAAAAGGTCCACAGGTGGTGTGCTAGTAGTACAGCACAGTGTTTTGTTTTGTTTTTTTTTTGTTTTTTTTTTGGTGCATACCCCCTCATCCAACAATAGTATCGTCATTCAGTGATTGCTCAGGGGACACAATCGGGCAGCAATAGACTGTGTGGTGATTTAGGCTTGCAGTTTACACAATGATAACTGGTCAGGTATAAGCCTCCTTTGCTTGCAAGTTAAATTAGCCTTATAGCTCCCGTGTAAAACTAAAGAAGAAGACTTTGGCCACTAAACTTTTCTTGGCTGATTGACTATGTTCGTGATAAAGGGGCAAATTGTATAAATGATATTTTTTGCCAAACTTTTGGTAATATCAGCAGTCAAACAGATGGCAGTCTGGTTTATGTTTGTCTCAAATTGGCACTCATGGTATAAACCTTTCCAAGCAGACTTTGTCCCTGAAGTGTCATTTCATTGACAAGGATAAGGACAGACAGGACCTTGTATATCCTTAATGAAATATCAGCTCATTTTGCTCTACTGTAGGTAAGCAGTTCAAATGTACTGAGTGTGATTTCACTGCGGCGCAGAAGCCACACCTCCTCCGCCACATGGAACAGCATGCTTCTTTTAAGGTAAATAAAACAGCCTTTTAAAGCTTTCACCGTTACACAGTTTTCATAAAAAAAATACTCAGACAAAAAAACAGTTCAAAGCACACTTGTGATGGAAGCTATTGGGCAGTCGCAGCATTGCATGAATGAATGTTTATGCGAAATAAGGTTTAAACATTTTTACAGATCACTTTCATGAATTCTACAGTCAGAAGTAAACAAAGCTGTACATTTTTAATCCATTCTTTCAGAGATGGTACTAGATTTTTAAAGGGAAGAATTTTTTGGATACCTTGGCGATACATGGAAAATCTTAGGAAGAGTAACCGAAACTGCTTTTTGCTTGTAGATTTACAGTATTGCAGTGTTTGAAAGTTGGATAAAACTTGATACAATAGTTTTGTGAAGACATTTCCTAATGGTACGAGATATAAATCTGTATTTTATAAAATATATATATAAATAATGTTTCAAAATGTATTCTAAGAATTCAGCAACTGTCCGATGGCTTCTAGTTAAGTGAGTTTTGAGCAATACTAACATTGCCAATGATGCTCTCAACTTGCTTACTGAGAATCTGCACCATGTACATGCTTCAGTCAAACTGAATTAAAGGCTAGCAAAAGCCTGTTAGCGCTTTGCAAATGAGATCATGCTTATTGGTCCCCCACTACAGTTTCATAAGTTAGTGTTTTTGAGTGTTCTGTTCAAGTAATTGCTTGTTCATGGTTTTAATTCTAAAGGAAAACTGTTTTTCAGCCATTCCGTTGCGCACACTGCCAATACTCCTGCAACATCTCAGGCTCTCTTAAAAGACATTATAATAAGAAGCATCCCGGTGAGCAATACTGCAACACAGGTCCTGGAACAGCCTCTTCAGAAACTGTGATAGAGCAAGGTAGGCTCCTTTACCCCTCTGTACTGAGCTCTCCTCAGGAAAGAACTGCAGTTTCACAAATCCAATACATAAAGAGTGATCTCCTTGCTAACTATATTCTGAAATTTTTCACATCACCAAATCGTTAACTGTTTCTTTGTGCTTAGGTGATCATTGGCAATTTGCATATGTGTCACATGAGCAGTACATAAGGGGGGTGGGAAAAAATAAACTACACAGTATGTGTGGCGCAAATGTCTAAGTGTTCACTCTGTCATCAAGTTTGATTCCTGGCGATGCCACAGCCATCTGTGAGTCCAAGAGAGCATAATTGAGTTGGCTCTCTCCCATCATTCAGTGTGATGCTAACACTGGTGTCTGTTAGCGGACATAACAGAATTGATAGTTAGCTTTCACATGTATTGGAGGAGAAACATGCTGGCCTTCACCCTGCTTGGTAGCATTGTGTAATGGGGAAGAACTACCCAGGTTGAGCTAGAGGGTGAAGTTGGACATGGCTAAATTGAGGAGAAAACTGGGTAACCAAAAAAAGACAATGTAATTGTAGGAGAAACTGAATGTTTAATTCAGTGTTTAAAAAAATTGAAGGAACATGAATACAGTGTAAACTGGGAAAGTTTTCTTTTGGAAGCGTAATTGCACGCCAGGTGTATCATGTAAAACGCTTTGCTTTGTCGTTCTGGGTTTGGTCTGCAGGAGGAGTGAAATGTCCAGTCTGTAACTATGTTTACGGCACTAAATGGGAAATGAACAGACACCTGAAGAGCAAGCACTGGATTAAAGTGGTTGAGAATGACCGTCTTGGGCTGAATCAGTGGGAGGTGAGTTTTCCTAAAACGTTTCTCTAAAATGTTGAAGGCTGCCTACATAATATATACATATACATTGAATGATGTATTTAAAGTGCAATACTTGAAGGTTTATGAACAGCCTACATCAGTATTTACAGACATATTAAATGACAGTATTAAATTACAATGTATTGTTGTATTTTTGTCCATTTATTACATAGCCATGAAGTATCATACCCAAGTAATAGGACTCATAAGGCAGGGGGCTTAGTTAGACATACTTCTACTTGACTTACAGAAGTACTGGCTCTGTGATTACTGTTTTTTTTTATGTCTGTAGCCACACAGGTCTCCTTTAGAATAAATTGTTCATTAAAATAATATTACACATAGGCCCTTATTCATTAAAGTTGCATAAAAATAGCACAGACTGGGTTGCCCTTAAATACGTACGAACTGCTTTGCATTCGATTAATTAAACTTTCAAATGATGTGGAAAAAAGCAGCAATGATGAGTCAGCTTCAGTGCGTAAAATCAAGCCCCGCCAACCTATACCTCATTTACATATCATTTACAGCCAATGTGCTTGTAAAATAAGTACATCCACTTTTGTCCTAGATTGCAATGTGCACAGATTATTAATATTACTGTTATTTTCTATTTTTATTTCTTATTGGTGTTATAGATGATATTGATAATAGTTTTGGTTAATTAAGCAGTTGTTAACTATTGTGCTCAAATTTACATGCACTCCTAGCAGTACATATACACTAAAGATAACACTGATGAATAGCAAAACTTACTTGGTGAAATTTTACATTTTAAGATCGGATTTGACCATAACTTTGAAAAGGGGCCAGTATTTATAATACGCATTTTTAGTTTTAATACTTTAAAAACCATTAAAAAGCAAAGTGCCACAGTGCTTTAACTCAGTCCAGCTGTACTTACATGTGGGAAAATATGTACAAAATCTTTCAAAGAACGGACATGTTTCAAAGTCAAGTTGAAAACCCATTTTGGACATTTAACTGACTTGGACTTTAGAATCAAATTCTTTTGCTTTGAGTGACTCTATATCTTAGGTATGTTTGTTTTATTAAAATAAATGATCACTAACATAATCCTAACACTAAACTTTACCAAATGTTTCTGACTTTCAGTACTGACAATTTTAGCTAATTTGAGCAAAACTCAAAAACACTAGGCAGTACATGACTAGCAAACACTGCTTTGAACAGTTGTACACACATAAAAATTTTCATTAAAACGCAAAAAATGACAATTGCCGGAAATATATATTTTGTGTAGTGACAATTCTTAATGTTACACACTGATTTTCAGACATTTACTTGAAAAAAAATGGATCTAACTGCTCACCAGGTGGCCATGAGGGACAGGGATGAAGTCTCACTTCCTGCTCTAAAATGCAGGGGGTGTGGCTTGGGTTTTTTAAACTCATGATGCATCCTAAGGTCTCAACATCACTTCAAAAGAAATACAAAATTTGAACACTGAAAAAAGCATCCCAATAGAAAGTACCCTATAAATTATGAATTTGTGTATATCTCTATTAGTGCCTTGACGTCAAATAGATTATAATGTATTCCTTAAAAAATAATGCATAATGCAATCCACCTTTAAATAATCCACAATCTTACATTTCTAAGGACTAATTTTTTATTTTTTTTACTGTGGGACCTCAGTTTGATCTAACTCAGTAGTCTATATATTGTGCTCTACACTAGGCTGTAAACAGGATAAATGTCTGTCTCTTTAAATTACGAGCCCTTATATATCAATATATTGTCATTTTATTCACAAAACAACTTGTCATCTTGCAAACATTTGCATTAGCTGTTCATAGACACTTGACTCTTGCTATTTAAATGTTATTCCATGTTTATGCATGTGTCATGAAGGCCCTATGTAGGTAGTCTTTAAATAAAGAGTTATGCAATATCCCTATGCTTTATGCTTGTTCAGGTGGTAGAATCAGTGGAGGAGGCGAATACACAGTATCTTCAAATTGCTGAGACAGAGGACGCTCAGGGAACAGAGGCTGCTGTGTCAGCACTGCAGAACCTGCGTTTTAATACGCAAAACGGTCAGTTCTCACGATGTGGCTAGAAATCCTTGGAGCCCTGAGAAAAGCTTACAAATAACACATAATATTAGTTAAAATTGAATTTATAATCCTTTGCTTGTTCCAGGGCCACTTTCCAGCTCTAGGCCCCCTGAATCAGGGTCCCTTTATGAAGCCCCCAGATGTGGCAGCTAAATACTGAGTGAAGTTTGCATCATTCTCATGCTTTTACTTCATTGTTAGGTGTTGTGTCAGCCACAGCAGCGGACAGACTGGACCCTGCCTCAGTTAATATTCTTCAGCAAATAATCGAGCTTGGCACCGAGAACCCTGATGCTACCGTGGCCTCTGTGGTTGCCATGGCGCCTGGCACAGTCACTGTAGTGGAACAGGCAAGTCTCTACTTTAAACACAGCAGTGCATTAATTCCTCCTGAAGTTGCCTCATTCACACCTCTTAAAGATACATTACAGACCAAAATGATAGTTGGAAGCAGAGATTTTTTTTTCCCCACATTTTTTTTTTTGGTCAACTAAAACCAATACATGTTCACTGACATCTATTTTAAACATATTCCCAAAACATTCCACTGGTTTGCAGTGATTTCATTATCCAGACATTTTGAAAAATCAGTGGAAGTCCCCTGTAACTAAATGGTTAAGATATAAACAATGTCATTTAGAGTGGTTACATGTTGAATGGGTCTTTAGAGAAACATAGTCAGAATTGTCCACACTGGTGGTGATAGAAACCAGACGTCTATATAGTTTAAAGCCTCTAAAAGCTCCCTCACAGGACAGTATAGCACATGAAATTGGTTATGAATACCCTGCCAGATGGCTGAAACCTTATTTTACAATATTTCTGAGACCCATTCATGGTGGAGAGGTACATGCTGGGTGCTATAAGGCAACATAGTGCTGGAGTACATATTTTATCAGATCTACCATTATCGACATTACATATAAAAACACAGAAGCCACATGTAGGTTCACTGGTTGTTTTGCATTGTAAATAAAAAAGTTATATTTGCACTGTAGACATAGTGGCGCCTGGTTCCTATCACCAATACTGTGAAGAAGTTCAGAGTAAGTTTCTTTACAGTGAACCATTGATAAATACCGTGGATATAAACATCACTGACCGCCTATGTCCACTTATGATTGGACCACCCAAGGCGTACACTGTGGCCAAAAGTATGTGGACACCTGACTAATATAAGCTTGTTACACATCCCATTCCAAAACCATGGGCATTAATATGAAGCGGCAATTTATATGAAACTCTGTAGTGAGCGATGCAACAGAGGATAGGAGATTTTGACGCATTATGCACTTCAGTATTCGGCGGTTTATGTAGTCTACTGCTTTGTGGCTAAGTTACTGTTGCTTCTAGACACTTTCTTTTCACAATACACTTACAGTTGACCGGGGCAGATCTAGCCGGGCAGAAAAAAAAACTGACTTGTGGCACAGGTGGCATGTTTAAAGTCTCTGAGCTCTTTATTCTACTAAATATGGGGAATGCAAGGCTATATGCCTGATTTTACATACCTGTTAGGAATGGATGTGGTTAAAACACCTGGAACTCAATAATGAGGTGATAACAAGTAACAAATTACATTGTGTATCCCTACAATGTGGTGTCCACAGTGGCAAATACATCACAATAAAGTGCAGACTACACTCTCTGTATCGTCCTAGGTGACGGAGGAGGAGCAGCAGGCTGGCCATGCCATGATGATCCAGGATGCCCTTCAGCAGGCCTCCGTGGGCCTTGGAGAAGAGCACCACCTGGTGGTGTCTTCGGATGATGTGGAGGGCATAAAGACTGTCACAGTGTACACGCAGGGTGACGATGCTTCTCAGTTCATAGTTTATGTTCAGGAGGCTGTACAAACTGAAGAGACCACCACAGAAGTTGCCTAAAAGTCAGTTGAAGCAACAGTTTGGCAAAAAAATTTCCCCTCCTTACCCCAAATATAGCTGACCAGTCAATTTCGTTTGGTGTGTAAATTTTGCTTCTTTACTTTTGCAGTGGAGCTAAGAGGCTAATGTAGCTAGCAAGTAACGGAAGCTTAATTAGCACTGTGCAAACTGCCTCATAAATGATCACAGACTTTCCTCAAGCCACATAGACTTGCTCAAGTGGTTTTAACACAGTATGACACAATGTAACCTATAAACACAGAACCCATAAACAAAATTCAGGCTTCAGGATGGCTGCTGTTTCTGTTTTTAGCTATGCAACACTGGTATGTTGTCAGAAACCCTCTGGGTTAAGGGGGAAATGTGTGTAAATCAGATTTTTCTGCCAAACTGTCCCTTTAACAAGTGGACAAACTGCCATATGCCTTACAAAGGGTTGCCAGTTGATGCAATAAATAAAAATTCACAATTCAGTGGTCACACATCGTACACAACGTAATGAAAGACTAAACACCTAACTACTAATGGAGAACAGTATTTGTTTTATGGTTGCAATGGAATTCATACTGAATGTACTTTAAAAGAAAACTCAAAACATTTCATTTCCCTGTTATGAGAAGGTATATATAGCCTCCTTAAGAGCTCCAGTGCCACTCATAGCTGTTTCCATTCTTTTGTAGTTTTTATAAGATTGTAAATGTTACGGATACCAAAATTATTAAAAGAAATTTTACTATAAAATTTTGGACTATTATTAATAAAGCGTCTATGAGTTTCATTGTTTAGTACACGTGTCAGGCTCCAGTCTTCACAGGCCAAAACACTGCAGATTTCAGCACACTGCCTCATTAAACGCACCTCATCAGCTAATTAGCAAGGCCTTCCTGAACTGAATTCAAAGTGCTAGATGAGTGTAAACGCTATCTACACAGTACTTTGGCGCAGAAGGTCCCCAAATTGACATGCCTATAAGATACTCGTGCCCAATCCAATTTCTTCTTTGTACCCCTAGCCCTTATTTTCGAGGGTCACCCTAACCCCTTGGAGCTGAGTTACAAGGGGTAGTGGCTAAAAACTTGCCCGACGAAATGGGACAACCCTCAAAAGGACATTGCTTCATTAACAGGCTACTAGCGGTGCTCTGTAGGCGACCCGGCCGTCTTCAGTGATAGCAGAGAAGGGAAAAGTTCAGCAACCTCACTGCTGGGCTTTAGTTACATTTAGGGCATCATATGCTTTCAAAGAGGGGGTATAAGACAATTATTTATTATCGGTCACTGCACCGCTAATTCATTGGTGATATGAAGCTGAAGTCAGCTATTCACCAGCTTCTTGTTCTAATTTTCCCGTTCCACCTTAAATGGAACAGCAGTTACATTCGGCGTTTCAGGCGTCAACACTGCTGGACTATTTAAGGTGGAACGAGAAAGTTAGCAAGCTAGCTACTGATTTTTTTTATGCTTGTTACGAAGAAAACAACCATAATACATTGAAACGACATTAAACTAAGATAATACAATGATTATCGTAATTTTTAACGGAGAAAATTCTTACATTTGTGGGTTTCTTTGGTCGCGCACGCAGCCATCTTGGCGTTTTTTCTTTTTTTCTCATAACACTCCGTTTGGAGTGTGCCTCTGAAAAACCTCCATTTGGAGGGCCATGTAGCCCTAACATTTCGCCCTAGCCCTCCATCTCAAAAAAATTGGGACACCAAGACGTAAACGTGCAAAAACAGAGGGCTAAGGGCCAAGTGGTAGGGGCACGGGGTGAAATGGGATTGGGCCGTGTTCTCTCTCAGAAAAGGATCAGAATCATTTAGATGTAACAGTTTATTAGCCTGGATATCGATGCAGAGCAGAGACAATGAGGACACATTCAGCTCTTGCACGCTAGCCTTTTTGTTTCAGTTCTTCTTCTTGTACTCTGCCATCAGTTCTGAAACCTGGCTGTCCTCTAAGCAGTGTTCACTGCTACAGTCTTTGTCCTGCTCCTCCTTCTGAAGCTGCCTTGCAAGCAGAAACGCTTTAGGGGTAATATCGTCATCTTTCAGCCTCTTCGATTTACGTTTCTTCTTCTCAATGAGTTTCTGCTTCCGGATCTCTGCTAACATGTCGAGCTGTTCCTGAGTTAGCCCTGCAGAGCTGGTGCTTTCTGTGTGAGTGTCTCTGGACCGTTGTTTATAGTCTTCAATCTGTTTATGCAGGGCGTCATGATCAATTCCAAACCACAAAGGTCTCTTCTTGTCCAAAGGTTCCACAGAATGCAGTCTAATCCTGTGGGAGATTAAACAAAAAAAAATAAATTCATTTAAAGAGTTAGTCTTCGTACACTGTAGGTAAAAAACAAAGTGGCCCAGATCAGATCTTTGTCTTCATGGATGATGCAGATTTTTTGTGTGGTAGTGTAAACAGAAGCACACACACTGAATCTTTCAATTATGGTAACGCTGATTATGTTCACAGTGCAGGTGAAAGTGGCCCAAATCTGATCCTTTTCTGCATATGTGACAAAGATTTATGTGTGGTAGTGTGACAGCAAAAGAAAAAAAACAAAAAAAAAAAAAACAACATCGAATCTGTTGTTGAATCTGTTGAATCAGCAAGAGTCATCTTCAATCTCCCAAAGTTCAGCCACGTCACCCCACTGCTGCGCTCCCTTCACTGGCTTCCTGTAGCTGCACGCATCAGATTTAAAACCCTTATGCTTGCCTACAAAGCCAAAAATGGACCAGCCCCTCCCTTCTTGATGGCAATGGTCAAATCTCAAACTGTACTACGAGCCCTTCGAGCTTCGAGTACAGCTCGGCTTGACCCGCCATCCTTCAAGGCGCGTGGAAGGCAAGCATCTAGACTGTTCTCTGTGCTGGCACCCAGGTGGTGGAACGAACTCCCACTGGCTGTCCGTACAGCAGTCTCTCTCGCTATCTTCAAACGCAGACTGAAGACACACCTGTTTATTCAGCACTTAAATGAGCACTTAATAAAATTAAGTATTGATTGTAATGTATTGTACAGCACTTATGTATTTAATCGTATTGCACTGTTCTGTGTTTTACTCTGTCCCTTTTTCACTAGGTGTCAATGACTTTCTGATTCTAGCAGTATCTAAGCTTAGGACTGGCTTTCTCTCTAACCTATTGGTAGCTAGCGAAGATTCTTTCTCTGGATAGACAAAGCACTTTTTGTAAGTCACTCTGGATAAGAGCGTCTGCTAAATGATGTAAATGTAAATGTTGTTTGAGGCTACATTCAGACATTTTTTGCATATCCACAATTGTTGCCATATTAATGGCAATTATGACAATAACTAGGTAATAGGATTGACACTATATTTCACAACAATGGTTCTTTTTTATTAACTACAGCATGAACAGAACATGACATTAGCATGTCGCTGTTGTTGAAAAAAAACCTTTATCTCCAAAATGGCAACTTTACGGAGAAGGAAAAACCTTTAACGTAATGTTTTACTTTTAATGTAAGTCAATGAAAGACTCTGTGTTTTAATTGCATTTACACTTTTAACCAGCCAAAGATGCATAAAGTGTAAGGTCTCAACTGTATAAGCTAAACTGTCTAGTAAGTTATTATAAAATCTGAATTCTTACTCAGCGTCTTTTCCACCAAGAGACAGATTGCCCGAGTCTTCACTTGGCCCATAGTCTGCAATCTCGAGAAGGTTTTCAACCTGAAGCCAGAAGGACATAACAAAATGAAAATGTTTTAGATTCACTTCATGATTTCATTACCTAAACCTGCCAGCATCCAACAATAAAACAGAATAACAGACAGTCAGTTACCTCTTGCAGAGCAGCATATTTTTTATCTCGGACGAAAACTAAAGGGGGAACGTTGCTCAGAATTTGTAGTGACATGAGAAGGTATCTGCAAATAAAACAGCAAATTAATTTCCTCTACAGCAGAAAGGTCTGGGATATATTAGACAGTGAGCAGCAAACAGATGGTTCTTGTAGCCAACGTGTTGGATCCAGGAGAAATGGGCAGATGACTGGTCAGAGCCTCTACAAAACAGCAAGGCCTATAGGGAGCTTCCGGTCAGCAGTGTGATGCTCTTAGCAGTGTTCTGCTGGGAAACACTGGGTCCAGGCATTTATGTAGACATCAATTTGAAACATGCCCCCTATCTAAACATCACTGAGGACCAGGAACACCTCTTCATAGCAATGATATTGCCCAATGACAGTAGCCTCTATCAGCAGAATAATGCACTCTGTCACACTGCACATATTGTTCAGGAATGCTTTGAGGAACAGGACAAAGAGTTAGAGGAACACGCTGGTGCCAGATACCACGTAAGTCCATTCCTCAGCAGGTCTGAGCTGTTTTGGCAGTACACAGAGGACCGACAGCATATTAGGCATGTTTTGGCTCACTGTTGTGTTACTTTTTGAAAACACACACCGTATACGAGGGGCACTCCTGTCCAGAGCATGCTGGATCTGGCTGTCTCTATCAGCAGACCAACTTGTCTTCCAGTAGATTCGACAAGAAGAGAAATCTGCTGTGAACGAAACCTTGCAATGAGAATCAGAAGACTTTGGTTAGAGATACTGCTCAGAAATCAACCACCGTAAATGAAATAGTAAATTAATCTTACTTTAGTAATCTCCACACTGTAACTAGGGATTTCCGCATTGACCTCATGAGAGGCCAGCAGGTCTGAAACAGCCTTACAGACGATAATGTTCAGTGTCCGCACTCGCTGACTGTCCTCCTGGTTTTTCTTCTTGGCTGGAGTCAGGAAGCCAGACTGAGCAGTGGGTAAAGGCTGAAAAATTATTGGCAAAAGTGAATGAACTGAAAGACAAAACTCTATTGATATGTTTAATTAAAACTGCCTCATGTTGTTTCTCTCATACAACAGCAACTACTGATCCTAAAACGGTCATTCAGAGTCGTTTAATGTAAAATGGTACATTGTAGAGAAACTTCACCAATTCAACAACTCGAATTTCAACAATGACGGTGATAGGAACAGGGACCATGATGTCTAATACGATCTAAATGCAGCCAATTAACTTACTATCCAAAACAACCAATGATTATAAAAGTAAAACAATGTAATTCAGACAAAAAAATGCTTTCTCTGGGACTATTTTACTTTAGCACACCCAGCATGTATGTCTCTGCTGTAAGTGGATGTAAAAACATGTTTAAGGCCCAAATCTTATCTCAAAACGGTCATAAAAACATCAGGCAACAGATTAGTACAACTATGTTGTGCAACAGCTTTCTGTGAGGTAGCTTGAAATACACTGTCTAAAGAAATGTACTGAGTCAGAATTGTTCACAGTGGTGGTGATAGGAACCAGACATCAAGTGTTTAATGTGTCTAAAAGCTATATCACAGAAAGGTTTTACATATAAATGGTTACAAATTTGCTGCCTGATGCCAGAGATGCCTGTATTTTATAATGACTATTAGAGAAGGATTTGATCTTAAATGTATTTGTTAAGATTTGTTCTGGGCGGTGGGTATCTGCAGAGTGTTCTGAGGCAAAACAGTACAAAGAAAACTTATTTTTTCAGATTTACTACTATTTTACCATCAACAACATGTACAAACTCAGAAAACAGGTGTAGGTTAAAGGGTGGTTTTAGGTAGTACATAAAATGGCAATATTTGCATGGTAGATATCATGACCCCTGGTTCCTATCACCACCACTGTAAAGAAATCTGAGTCGGGAAGTTTCTTTACACTCAACCACTTAATTATACAGACATTTTGGAAAATCGGTGGAATTTCCCTTTAACGGTTTAATTATGCTGATGTTTTTAAAAATAAGTGGAATTCCCATTAATGTGGAAATGATATGCACCTCTCGATTAATGCAATACTTTTAGGCTGGTATTCTACACAGTGGGTCACCTTACCTGCCTCACCTGAGGAGTTTCATACCACCTTTTCTTCCTGTGAAGAGAAAATCAAGGAGTTAAAAACTGCACAGGTGAATGGCAGATATTGCTTAGCACACTAAACAGCTAACGACAGGCTCACTTATTTCCTAACTCACTTCTTTTTGAAGAGCATCTTCATCAGTAAATTCCGGCGCTGAAGCGCAGATGTGTGGAAGTTAGCGGCTGCTGAGAGGAGTTTAGCCGGCCTTTCTGTAGATTTTCTGAAGTTTCCATGCTGTTGTGGCGTCTCCAGTTTTAATTTACACATCATTGCGACTATTCCGCTGACATGTCGAGGAAACGAACATTTATGAAACCAGTAGTGACTGTTTAGAGCTAGCATGGTTAACCACGTTAGCCTTTGCTTGCTAACAGCGAGGGCAAACTGAGCTAACGCTCACTCAGAACAGAAAGGTCGAACTAAGCGAAACCAGATTGCATCGATCGACAATAGAGTCGAGCTGCAATGAAAGGCGTTTCCGTAAAACAAGAACGCCCACATCAGGAACGCCCACTTATCATTCATTGGCCAATATATCTGCAAAATGTCTTCTCTCATTGGTGGATACGACTCAATGGGGAAAATACATCAGTATTTATAAAGACGTTACTAACACTACATTAATATTGTTTCTACATATTTACCTAATGAGCATTTGGCATTTAAAAGCAAATATTAGTGAATCTATAGCTTCTGGTGATTTGTATAGAGTTCTGTCTCGCGGTTTTGTGATCACCGACTTGAACTTGCGGTCTGAATGCCTATCGTAACGGCAGCAATCATGAGTTTTCAGCAGTACTACGCAATCTGCTCCATACCAGCCGTTATTTAAATTAATGTGTAATAATGGATTATAAGGTTAACGTCCCTAATGAGAAAAAGAGAAACATAGAAACCACTAAGAGTTTCTGTTGGTTCTTGGGGGTTTGTGATGTGTTTTGGCATTTCTTGATGGGTTGCTAATGTAAAGGATCCTAATGGTTTACCAGGTCACCTGACTGATTCCAGATACATTTCTAATTCTAATTGGAAGCTAGTGGTCTCTAATGGTAACCCTTAGGAGGCAAAAACCATTAGATTTTAATGGTCTTTATTCAGCAAAGGCTGGTGCTGCCAGCTTGCACAATATAACTTTGGCAAGGTTGAGTATTGTTGACTATCAAGCAACCATGTGCTTATTTTCCACAAGTTTTAAGGTCGTGCTAAAACGTTAATGTAACAGTAAACTTACCAACATGATAATCTGTAATGAAAGCGCTCGTTCTCGACCTTATTTATTTTTCCCATTTTTTTCGCACTATTCTGTACGACGGGGTTTTAGGGCCACTGTTCTCTATTCTCGAAGTCTACTATTTTTATTTTTATTAACAGCGGCCCTAAAACCCCGTCATAGTTCTGTTTACTCAGCAACGTTACTGTGGCTTTTACTCCAAAGCCCACCTTCCCCTGACGTCACACGGTGGGCGTTCCTGGGGGGGGGGCGTGTCTGCATAACAGAAACGCCCTCATATGGTGCTGCAATTAGACCCTCCTCTTGATCGATGGTACGTACAGTATGCTCATACATTCACACACCCGTTTGATTCCCATTTTTAGAAGATATGACTGATTGTACAAAACACATTTTATTTTAATAATAGTGCTTAGATGATGCAATTTATCATGACAGAAATGTGCTTTATATGTCCAATAGTAACTGAAATTACACAGTCAATAGCGTACATAGCCAGCCCTTGATTCTTGTACAAACTCAATTCCAAAAAAGTTGGGAAAGGAGGTAAAATGAAAATAAAAAGAGAAAGCAGTGATTTATAAATCCACCTTGACTTGTTTTTAAACGAAAACAGTACAAAAACAAGGTATTCAATGTTTTAACTTTATTGTTATTTTGTTATGGATGAATTGAGGCTCACCACTTTGCCAAAAAAGCATCAGTGATAAATCCAACAATTTAAAAGTAACTTTCATCAATGAACACTTGCAGGTGTTTCTCCCTCTACAGTGCATAATATCATTCTGAGAATCTGGAGAAATCTCTGTGCATAAAGCCCAAACCACAACTGGATGTTCATAACCTTTGATACCCTACATTAAACACTGGTCTACTTCTGTAATGCATGTCAGTATTTATTTTGAGCTTAATAATGCACCACAGGCTTTCAGTGGGAGGCAGGCAGGCCAGTCTAGCACCCACCATTCTCTGATTATGCAGCCAGGTGTAGAATATTTCTTGTCTTTGTCATGTTCAAACAAGCAAGAACGTCCCTGAAGAAGACACTGTCTAGAAGGCAGAATGTATTGCTGCAAAATGTATTTAGCATTACTAGATGTGCAAGTCACCTACTAATACACCCCTTTTCCCTGACAGACCCCAGCTTTTGAACTTTACACAAGTAACAATTTGGATTGTCCTTATCTTTTTTTGCAATGTAATAAAACATTAAATATGGTCAGCCTGAAAAGAAATTCCCAATAGTGTAGTAAAGTGTTACATTATTTTGGGTAAAATTATTATTATTAATAATAAAATTATAAGTATTATTATATACAGTTAAGACACTATTATATTATGATGTTTTATTAGATTTTTGACCAACACATTGCATTACTGAGAAATTATCACAATACTGGGTTCTACGGTTCTTAATATAACTTAAAATTGGCCCCTTGATCCTGAATCACAGCTTTTCATGATAGTTATTAGTTATTTTCTCAAGTGGTCTTGCTGCTCACTGTTCTAGGCCTTCAGGTCCTGTAAATTCCTTTGTTGCCTTTTCAAAAACATGGTGGATATCTCACTGCCAGGAGTATGTACACTTACAAACAGAGCTGTCTAGTCTAGTAGTTACAACATAGTAGTTACAACACAGAAGAGCTGACATCTACAAGGAGAACTCTATTCTTTCATTATATGTAATGTGTGATGACGTCAGATTGTGATATTAATCGTATGGAAACTCACTTTACATATGAACAAAAGGAAACAATTAGTCGTGTTTTCCGTATTATGGTATTCTATTCATACTTTCGTAAGCAGTTCCAAGCAGACTGACTACAAGAGAAGACAATGTATGCAAAAGGCATTGGTGTGAAAGAAATCTGTTTGTATAGTGTACTTTAGTAGGCTACTAACAATTAGCTATAGTGCTCCTAAAATACCTGAGCAGTATCTATTTGGCTATATGTATAGAATACTTTGAATTAAGAGAAAAGACAAATATAAGTTAAACATACAGAACATACAGAATGTGCCCTTATATGTTTGAATATTCCTGCATGTGTATTTCATTGTTTTACTGTTGAGTAGTATAAAAGTTACCAAAACTATTCAGACTACCGTTCTAAAGAATCCAGCTGCTTTAAGGTGGACCCATTGCTGTTCAACTGCAGACAAACAGAGTCTTTAATCTCCATAGAAAAGCACTGCCATTAGAATGGGATGCTCTGGAGCAGCCGCACATGAGCCTAAGTTCACCATGTCCAACGTGGAGTGTCAGCTAGAGCATTATAAAGCCCCTCCCCCAAGCATTGGGCTGTGGAGCAGTGCATTCTCTGAAAAGATGGAGCTCCATCCAGTACCTGTGGGATAAGCTGGAGTGATCCAGAACTAATCCAACATCAGCAGCTGACATCACTTATGCTCTTGTGGCTGAATGCAATCAAATCCTCACAGCAATGTTTCAACATCTAGTGTAAAGCCTTCTCAGAGGAGTAGAGATTTTTACTGCAGCAAAGGGAGACAAACTCCATATTAATACCCTTGATTTTAGAAATGCTGGATGAGCAGGTGTCTACAAACTTTTGGACACAATAGGGCACCTTCTCTAAACTGAGCTGTTCATCCATCCTGCCAGTTAGCAGTGTACACCCCTTCTCGCTGCAGAGTCAGGTACACACCACTGCTATATGATAGTTTTGGTGCAATCCTAAAATCAGTGCACAATGACTATATTTGACTATATATAGACTATTTTACTATATTAATGTCGGATATTTTGCAATGTAGAACTTAGCAATGACAATTTTTCCATTACATTTCAGAAACAAAGTAGCCCATGTTTTGGGTTGTCTTTTCCTTTCTCCACTCTTTAGCATTTTAATCATGTTGGCAGATGTGTGTCTTCAAACAGGGCTCAATCACAGTCCTGGAGATCTACCACCCTAATTTAAATTGGAGTTTAGCTCCAGCCCTAATTAAACACACCTGACCCTGGTAATTAAGTCTGTCAAGGGCATCTGGACATTAAGGCAGGTGTGTTGGATCTGAACTTTCCAAGGCGGTGGATCTCTAGGATCAGGATTGGGCACCCCTGTCTTAAAACCTCAAAAGGTCTCCAATCCAGTGCTGTACCTACCTTTTGGGCTCCTGTGCAAACAAAATGAAAGAATCCCACCTAATGGAAGTAATTTTCAATGCATGTTAAGACTACCTAACACAAAATTATACATCATATTGAGCTGTCTCACATGCAACTGGCCAATAAGGCCACTCTTGCGGTGTGCCCAAATGAAGCCCCCTCCCCACCCCTCAAGTTATAACACTGACTGAATCTCTTAAATTCTGTCCTAACCTTAAGAGGTGTCTTAACTTCTGTTTTACCTGCCTGACAGGCAGCACAGTTCACACATGCTCACTGTAAAGGATACATGTTACAAAACCCGCTCAGATGATTTTATTTTAGCTGAGGTTCCCTGAGTTTCTACTGAGCTAGGTAAAACTGCCTTTTAGCTATGGTACATCAGTGAGCTGGAACAAGATACAAGGTACTCTAAAGCCTGACTCGCTCATTTCTCCTAGGGTTTTTAAAATGTTACTTTCAAATTATTTTAGTTCTGTTTTAGTTTATTTATTTATTTTTAATCTTTATTTTACTATTATTTTAGATATTTTACTAATATTGTTTCTTATTATTGTTTTATTGTTTCTTATTAATATAACAAATTGTTTTTATTGTTGTGTTTAAAATTTTTAAACATTCTTTTATTATTTTATCTTTGCTTTGGGATCTTTATTTTAACAATCTTAATGTGTTTTTTTTTTTTTATTCTTCCTGTGGCTCTCGGCTATACTGTAAATGAGGGCCCCCCCCTCAATGTAAACCCGAGCTTAAATAAAGAACGATGATGATGATAGCTTAGCTTGAGTGTTTTTTTTCTAACAGCATTTTAAAAATCCCTATAGACAATGTAGACACGATCTCCACTGTTCCTCTTATTACCTTTGTGTGTTAATTTTCAGATAAAATATTACTGTGATGGTGAATAATGATGAGACAGAGCTGAACAGGTGTTTGGGAAACTGGAGAGTGACGAGGCTCTGATAAACAGCATGAAGTGCTGTCACAATATTCTTAACTTCATCACACTTTAGTTTTATTTGACCTTTTTTTTACATCAGTAATTGTAGTTAACATTCGCTGTCAGACTATATAGCTAACTTGATTATTTTGATTACATGTTTAT